ATATGATGACTCAAAGAAAGGAGAAAGGAGAGTAGTCAGAAGGAGCAGATTACCCAGCTTCTTTACAGAAAGTGAAATATTATATATAATTATTATATTATAATTTGAAGCAAGTTTGTGAAGCTGCTCAACTGTCTTCGATTAGGAGGAGGATTCTCTTACTTTTATTCTCATTTTATTCTCTTCTTTCTTCTTACATATTGATTTTATCTTATTGTTTTTATAAAAAAATTAATATAAAATATTAACGTATTTAAACCGTAATGATTCATATAGAAAAAGAATCAAGAGAAGAGAGATTAAAAATGATGAAAATCCTTTATTCGAATAAAGTTTTTCGTTGTTCACGCCATTTGTCCAACTACTGCAACAAAGCCCTTCAATCAATGGGATTGGATTGGACATATGACCCGACAAAGTCTTTGTGTCGTACACACCACCTGCGTCTAGGGCTGCATGATGTCTTTTTCAACCAAGTACCAAGCACAGGAAAAGACTTGGCTGCAGATCCTGCTTATCTCTAATTCCGATTGAATACGTGTTCAATTTTTTATTGAAAAAATCAAAATTTAGACACGTGTAGAGTTAGAATTGGGTGTAAGCAGTATTTACTGTTGAATTTTCAGCAGCCAAGTTCAGTTCCCAAGTAAAACAATAGTGATAATAACAACTTATCCAAATAATATTAAAATAATTACTCTATTTGCTTCCTTAAAATAATACAATGGTCGTTAATGTTGTGCACAACTACAATTAGATGAGGCATTTAGGAGCATTGGATCAAGGAGTTTCAAAAAATGATGAGTTTAAAGTCGTACAAATGTTGTTAATTAAGTTTCTCGTTTTACTAACATATATGTTAGTTGTTGAGATTTAAAAGAGATACATGTGAAATTTATAGGACATGTTAGTGTTGAATTTGAGTTTTGTCACATTGTCGGAGATGTAAGGTTTGAGTTCAGTGTCAGATGGTTGAGGTTTAATGACTATGTCTAAATACGTGTCATGAGAATAAGGTTCAATATGAGCTAAATTCTATGTTCAAATTAATATCTTAAATTAGAGAAAAACTTGCATGAACATATATCACTTGTTCTAACATTTCTTATCATGTGATATGAGGATCTACATGTGTGTTTACTCGGGTCTAACTATGGTCCTAGACTCCTATATTGTAGCTAGGTTCAAGGCCTATGTTTGAGGAAGGGGTGAACTACAGCACATGAGTGGATTGGAGCATGAAGTTCATGGTGCGAGTTTACGCTGATGATCTCAGGTCAACTAGGGTTTGAGCTGTGTTTGAAGGTTTAGGTTTGGTTATGGGGTCTGAGTCTCTGGTATGGGTAAAGTTTTCATCTGTGCAAAGGAGGATCAAGAACTTAAATTTCATGAAATAAAGTTGCTAAATATGATATTTAATATGAGACTTTAAGACATTATAAAAAATTATCATTTGTTTGACGAATAACGATTCGTAGGACAAATAGTTTTTACCTTATAAATATCATGTTCATTGAGCAAAAATGGTCAACGTTTTGGTTTTTGCAGAGATTTTGGCTAAACGAATAGAGTTCACGGGCAAAGTTATAGTCGTCATGTAACTTTAGCTATAAAATTTTGTCAAGCAAAATTAGAGGTGACGAAATGGTATTTAGCCCGAGAAATTTTTTTCATTAAAAGGTTTTTTTTTATATTTTTTTGTGAGATTACATCTTAGACTAAAAATTATGAAATTCTAAATTCACAAATTTCATGAACCTAGGTGATATACTTTTTCCAACACGATTGAATGCTCTTCTAAGTCCCTTCTCTTTCCCTCAAGATGACACTTGACTACAAGGAGGAAAACACCAGATAGTATACACGTGTTTCTTTTTAAAGGTTTATCCAACCGCTTATTGCTACGCATACAAATCAGTCTTCACGGTGCATGCTTGTCCGCTCGTTTCAGACTTCAGAGGCTTCCAACTCGTGGAAAGTTGAATTGGTTGCATTCACTTTGATGAGTTCGTACTTGTACTGTGAACAATGATCGGTTTTAATGCTAGGATCCAACTTCTGTTGCCTCCAACTGTTCCTCTCCCCCTCCCTCTCTCTCTCTCTCTCTCTCTCTCTCTCTCTCTCTCTCTCAATAGTTACACGTCTTAGCAACCTCGGCCTTGACAAAACAACACCAACTTGACTGATGCATCCATCAGAATCACTGCGCTCCGGAAAAAGGTAATATAAAAGAAACCAATATGCAAAAGGGAACAGTAAAGAGACCATCCAAAACAAACCAAAGCCCCTTGAGCTATTTTGGGCACCACATTTTTAACACGCAAATGAGTTTCACACACTATTTTTTTCCTTTGATCATACAGATATCTGTTTAATTCTTATTTGTAAATCGAATAAAACAAAAGAAAATCGGAGGACAAAAATAATGAGTTTCAGAAAAAGGAAAAATATGCAGAAATCAGTTTACCATTAAAAAATTCACCTCTCCAAAATTTTCTTCTATATATGTAGTGAAGTTTCAGCTCCATTCTCCTAGCCTTCAAACCCTTCATTCCAATCCCATGAAAGTTAACAGCAAACCATCCTTCAGTTGACTGCCTTCACTTGCCTCGCTTGCAGTTCTTTCTTCTTCACCCAATCGAAACCCATGCCTTTTCTAAAACCCACCTGAGAGATTTTCCATTTTTATGTTCACATCTTTCAAAACAAAATTCCTACTTTTCAACTTGTGAAAAAAAGCAAGCTTGCATGTAAGCACTTATTTCCCAAATTGGCTTACTCTTCAATTCCCTCCAATTTCTTTGCTTGCATTCCACTGAACAAGAACTAAAATTTAGAGGCATATTTTACTTATAAGCCCTTGTCATCCAACACATAAAAAAAATGGAAGCTTTTCATCCTTCTCTCACCTTTCCCTTCTCCTACACCTTCAACACCACTACTAGTGCACTTGGTGGTGGCATTGCTGAAAATATCGCCACATCATGTCCTAATCCATGGATGGATGCTAGGATATGGTGCAAGCTCCCCCATCGGCTCCTCGACCGTGTCATCGCCTTTCTTCCACCGCCTGCCTTTTTTCGCGCTCGATGTGTTTGCAAGAGGTGGTACGCTCTCTTGTTCTCCGACACCTTTCTTCAGCTCTACCTCGAAGTATCTCAGCGCCGCCATTGGTTCTTGTTCTTCAAGAACAAGAGCCTCAGGGGAAGCTACATATACAGGAACAAAAACATTGGAGGAAGCAACGGTGACAGCAACACGGGTGGTACTAATTGTGAAGGTTATCTTTTTGATCCTTATGAACTTTCATGGTATCGCCTTTCGTTCGCTCTACTTCCCTCCGGCTTCTCCCCAACTTCGTCTTCCGGCGGTTTAATCTGTTGGGTTTCGGATGAGGCTGGCCCGAAAACTCTCATTCTATGCAACCCAATTGTTGGTTCTATGTCTCCATTGCCTCCAACTCTAAGACCAAGGCTCTTGCCTTCCATAGGGTTGAGTGTCAACCCTACATCCATTGACGTAACTGTTGCTGGAGACGACTTGATCTCTCCATACGCTGTGAAAAACTTGACTGCCGAGAGCTTCCATATCGACGCAGGCGGGTTTTTTTCGCTGTGGGGAATCAATTCTTCCCTCCCAAAACTCTGCAATTTCGAATCAGGTCAAATGGTTAATGTTCGAGGAAGATTCTACTGCATGAACTACGGTCCTTACAGTGTCTTAGCCTATGATGTGGCAGCAAACAATTGTTGGACGATTGAGGCCCCCATGAGAAGGGCCCTGAGATCTCCAACCTTGATGGAGAGCAGTGGGAAGCTGCTTTTAGTCTCTGCAGTTGAGAAGAGCAAGCTCAACGTGCCGAAAAGCTTGAGGATTTGGGGGTTGCAGGCTTGTGGAACAACTTGGGTTGAGATGGAGAGGATGCCACAGCAGCTCTATGTGCAATTTGATGACCTGGAAAATGGGAATGGGTACCGTTGTGTTGGACATGGAGAGTTCATCACCATCATGATTCTGGGTTCCGACAAGGCGTTGCTGTTCGATATGTCCAGGAAGAGGTGGCAGTGGATTCCTCCGTGCCCTTACGTTCATGCTGGGGTTGATGGGGACTTGCATGGCTTTGCTTATGAACCCCGGCTCGCTACGCCGGTCACTGGGCTGCTTGATCAGCTCACTACAATTCCTTTTCAGGCTTTCAGTGCTTAGGAGGGTTCAAGTTGCAATGTGATATAAATACGTAGCCGTAGGAAAGTGGCAGTGAGGTCGGTGTTAGTAGGTTTAACCCAATCTACTGAGGAGCTACTTGTTATATTTGAAGTAATCTGCTGTGTGCTTTGTCGTTCTCTTCTACCTGGTGTATGAAACAGGAGATAGTTTGCATAACTATTGCGATAAATGTAATAATATTTCCTGGAATTAACTACAAGATTGAAAACGGCTAAACCACCCATTGGACCGATTATAATAACGTGCCATTTCTGAAGGTCGAAGCTAAGACCTCCCGCTTAAAATTAAAGGGGAATACCAATTTTAGGTAAAGGGGAATGTTTTAAAGCTTCTCTTCCCTGCTTAGGGTTACCACTAGGATGACGCTTGTGCCGTTTCCGAGATCTATCATATTTCTCCATTCTTAAGCTACTGTTTCAACTGTTAATCAAATTGATCAACAAGATTTCGATTGATGAAACGAATGATTAGTTGACAACAAAAACTGCCAGCCAGCCCTTACTACTAGGGAATGGGGACATATACGCGACGACTAAGACATTCACATGGAGATTATACGGTTCTCTTAACAACACATGACTTTGCATTACGCGGTTGAAATGAAAGTGAAACAATGCCAAGAGTCCAGGACAGAGACTCCATTTCCAAACAAACAAGCATGAAGCGTGCGGAGCATACAAATCAATTCCTGTACTCCTTTAACACATGTTGAATTTTACAGTTCGACAAGCAAAGTAACATTCATAAATGGCTTCTTATCAATTGCAGATACGAGGATTTCGAACAGTATAATATAAAAGGTACAAGTTCAAATTAAAATCAAATGAAAGAACGTAGCTTAAGCTTTCTTATGTTCCTATGTTCGTACATAAGCACATATTTAAGGGAAGAAAAAAAACAAAAAAACAAAGGGTTAGTATATGATGAAAAGATCAAGAGACTTGCTATTGTATATTCTCAAAAATTTCGGGACTAATGTGTTTGCCTGCCAAGTTGGGGTCTTCCAGTTATTCGTCACCCGCCTTCATCCCCAAACTAAAGCTGACAAAGTTTCTGCCACTCAAAGCTACAACACTAGATGGCCTTCATAAAGTTGATGAAACTTCCTTTATATACACTTCAAAATAGGGTGGATCAAAGGGTTGCAATTTTTGATATTCAACTCTATTGACTAAACTTGTCGTTAAGTCTGACCTTACAAATAAGGTGCGCTTCCATCTCCTGATGGATCGTATCCCTTCTTGACATTCAACTCGATTTTCCAATGTATCATTTAAGTCTAACCTGGAGAATGAGATGGACATCCCTCTTGAAGATGGACCGTAGCTCCTCATTAGCTGCCATGCCAATTCTCCTGTTTCAGAAGCATGTATTTCAATTCAAATTGGCTCATGTTGAAAGCAAAAGCAGTGATTCCAATATGCTAGGACTTCAGTATTTACCCTATTTTATTGCCCTTCTTTCCTACAAGAATCTTGCGTTGACTTAATTTGTTCGTGATAAGATGTTGTTCAATCCGAAGAGAGCCATCTCGCAACTCCTTCCAGTCCATTAACCGATGTTCAATAGTGTATGGGATTTCCTAAGCAAGCAGAAATTGCCATTACTGAAGATCCTCAAATTGCTTATAAATTCAGACCTTGGGAATGAAAATATAATCAGATAGAAACGATAGCCTCAAAGTACTTCGAAACTGAAGATATACCTGATGCACATGGTCTAACAACCTTTCTCGGACAACTTCTAATGATATATTCTTCATAACTTCCTCAGTCATGATGAATGGATCTTCATCCCAAGACCGTTTAATGGCCTAAACATAAAAAACCACCGAAGAACTGAGATGTGGGATATAGTGGACACCAGTAACATTAGCTAGAAAGATGAGCAGACACATGTAAACCAGGCATATCTTGAAAACTCTTTCCAACCGAAACATAAATCTAAAGAAGGCCTTCGTAATAGAATATTTTTGACAGGTAAATGTCACAGGAAATGATGACAATGAAGGCAATACTAAAATGCTCACATGCCTGATCCATCAAATATTGAGTAAGATCTTTCACTCCAGAGCCCTTCAGACCAGAAATCATGAAACGCCTACAAGGTTAAAGAAAGAAATAGATCGTGAGATATACGTTTAAAAACCCTGGCGAAAAGAGAAAACACACCATCTTTGATTTTGTAAAAGGAAACACACCTTTCATAACCAGGAAGATCTTTGAATTCCTCAGCAACCTTTAACAAGTCTTTCTTCTTCTCAACTAAATCAACCTTGTTCATACATAAAATTCGCTTTTGTACTGGGTGTGGTAGTGCTCCCATACGCTTGATCAATCCTATAACCCTTACATCAGGCCTATATAGATGGAAATACAAAGAACTGAGTGATTAGGGACTAAACACTGATGAAATTTAGAAAAAAAGGGGGAGGGGTGGCATTTCGCTAGCCGAACAACAAATTGTTAATAAACTTGAGTGGCTGAAATAATGCAGGGAATGAGGATAATGGCTGAAATTAAAAAAAAAAAAGCACTATTATCAAAAGCAATAAACATTTGCTAGGATAGGTTTCCTTAGAGTCAACCATGGGATTACTTGAAGAAAAAAAAAAATAATAAAGTTACAGGGTATCATATGGAATGAATCACTAACCTGGTAAGATGCCTATGGACGTCAAATATAACTATGAGCACATCGTATAAAGTAACTGAACTCCAAGCACTTTCTACGCGAACCTTGAAATCCTTGTAAGGACATCCCTTGTTGCTTAATGTAAGACCTGGAGTATCAAAGAAACACTGCATAGGCACACATGAAGACAGTCAATAAATGGCTCAAAACGTGGACAAACAACTGCAAGATATGTCATATGCCACAATTTCTGTGCTCCAGTCTGTGAGGAGAAAACATAATAATAACATGTCTACACATCACTAGATGAAAGTAATCGACGAGAATAATATGCAAGGACAACCCATCACCATTACCTTTCCTGTATCAAACACACTCATCACTGTATGAAAGTAAGTGTCGCAAGCTCATCACATCTTTTTTGTACCATAAATTCATAAACAAAGAACTAGGATAAAGAAATGAATTGCATATTGTAATTCAAATGATTGTGACTAATTTTCAGAGCTCATTAGGACATAATATAACTTAATCAAAGCATTCCCAGTCCAGAAAACCTGGTTGATTATAAGCTAAAAACAAGAAACATACAATTTGTGTGTCTCCTTTTGTCATAACTCCTAATACTTCATGAGTTGTGGTGTTTGTCTTCCGTGAAACAGCGGAAACCTTCGTCCCAACCTATAAGAAATGCAGAAACATGTGATAAATCTGCACGATCTGTCACCAGAAAGGTTCTGGTTACAACAAAAGCCAGTAAAAAGTTTACAATCCTCTGATATGGTAAACTTTTTTTTTTTAAATATTTCCACAAAACATTTGTATCCTACAAATTACATAGTTTACGAACAAAGTATAATCTCCCAAGCCAGTACATATCTCAAATAGAGGAATTTCAAAGCTTCTTCATTTGTTTCCCTCCAAAGAAATTTTTGTTGGGACAACTTCGGACATATTAAGAAGCTCAAGCCTACTTTGGCCTTGAGAACTATTTGATATCTATCTGAGAAAAGTGCAGTGACCATGAAACAGCTATTGATATCGCTTTCAGACAAATTAGGCAGATTGTACCATATCCATGGTGAATAATACATAATACTGAGCAACACAGACGAACCCTAGTTGCCATACAATATTAAACCATGACCAGTTAGGCAAATGAAAGAATCCACAACACCAACTTCACCCAAACCCTTGTCCAACGAAACAATCAAAGGCCTCAAACACTGCATTATACTCATCCTAAGGACCTGCTTATACCCTACTGAAAACCCCATCACAAAATCATCTTCTTTTTTTCCGGAAATGAATTGCCAAATCATCAAACAAACTGTCAATCAACTGAAAAAATATTATCATTAACTAAACCAACACCATATCCAAATCATAAACCACAGTAACACAGTCATCATTTAATATTATCATTAACTAAACCAACACCATATCCAACAGTTAATTAAACCTTCCCCCTAAACCCCCCCCCCCTTTTTTTTTTCTCCGTCTCTTCTAAATTAAACACATTTAAACCGTAAAATCCAAAATAACAAACCATATAATTGGTCAGAGCAGACTTTCCGGCATTCGGAGCACCAATTATCCCTACAGACAGCGCCTTTTGGTCCTCCTCCTTCACCATTTCCTCCTCATCCCCTGATTCCTCATCATCTGCGCGCTCCAATGCCGCCTCGAGAAGCGCCTTAGCAAGCACTCTACTCTTTTGCTCCTCCTCTTCCTCCAAACGCTTCAATTTCTCCTTCTGGGTGTCCACCCCAATCAATTTATTAGCTTTTGATCTGTACTTGTTGTCCCAAGTCGGCTTCTGAGGAGGTTTGTGTTTGGAATCCGAACCAACGGATGGTATGGCGTAATGGGTACTGTCAAAAACCGAGTCTGAACCATTTTCGGGGTCTGAGAAAGATGGGTTGTGACCGGAGTCGTCCTCTTGCGGCTGAGCTGCGTAGAACCGGTGGAACAAGGAGGCTGGGTTTAATGGGGTTTTGCTGGGTTTTGAAGAGAGGGTTCTCAGAACTCTCAGAGCTTTCATCTCAGCAGCTAGATACCAAGCATCGAGAGAGAGAGAGACAGAGATTGACTTTGTGTGCGGGCGGGCTGTTGGGGTTTTAGGGGTTTAGGCTTGAGGGTTCGTCTTGTCACTCTGTATTGCTACGAGCAAGTGTTTATATTTTTATTATTTTTAATTTCTATGGTCGATTTTTTTTTTTTTTTTTGTTCATTTCTTTCTCTTTCTTATAGTTAGTCTTTTTTTTTTTTTTTTTAATTTTTTATTAAAAGGATCAGTTGGTGGTTTTGTTTTGGCAGTATTACAACTACTTTAAAATCCAAGGCCTCGTGTGTTATTCTGCTATGACGAGGTGGATTTTAGTATGCCAAAAACACAACTTGATCCGCTAAATGTCGTAATACAAGTAGTTGAAAATATATATATTTTTTTCAAATATCCAATTACTTGTACTATAACAGTTGATCTACCAGACTATTTCCGACACACTGAAAAATTTCTCCTTGGATGATGCAGCCACAAATATAATGGCATAAGAAAGTCATAACTAAAAGTTCAAAGGCCCTATAATAACATCATCGTTCATAAATAATACCAACCAAGTTTATAACCACATTTGAAATATTAAGTCAACTGAAGAATATTGTCGATGAACAAAATGGAATCCTTTAAATATCCCTAATCCTAAAAAGTTTGCAACAAAATCTATGGGGAGTATGAAAAAGAATATGAAAGTTACATTATAACTTTGACATTTTTGCTCTTCTACTTAACGTTCTTGCAAAGAATACAACACGAATCTATGACTGGTTAGTCCTGTAAACCGCCCTTCACTTCGAATAAACTCTGCAGGACATGGAGCGTGCATCGGCATGAGGTTCCCAGGTCCATACGCCAGCATGAGATTCCAAAGGCGCAAACACTGTCATCGTCGTCCCATTGCTGCTATTTGATCTAAAATGCCATTCGACCAGCAAGCCTGCCCTCCATGATCCTTCTGTCTATGGCTGCATCAATTGAACTCATCTGAAAAAGAAAACCGCAATGAGATCATCAGAGAGGGACCGTGTGCATGATTCACTTGGTTAAGCCAGCTTAAATGGATTGGTCCTATGATCTAACCGAAGAGATACAAAACTTTATGAAAGAATCTGACCTGGCCAAGTCTGGTTTCACTGTTCAATGATAAAATAATGTTGCTACAATTAACAAAAAATTTGTTGGTCTTGACATTGTTTCACTCGAACCCCCACACCGCAAAAGAAAGCATGGGGAGAGTGAACAATGGATAAATGTAAATTTTAAATGAGCAAATATATACATTCCGAACTTAACTGAGTACGATGCTAGATAGGAGAATCCTTGAGCCCACAGAAGCAAGCTTGTCAAAATTGTAATCACTAACTAACAGCAAAATTATTGTAAATACCTACTTGAACCTTTTGATGCAGTTGCGTGGAAACCGGAGAATGGCAGTATAAACAAAACAGCATGCCCATCAACCAATTGGGTTGGAAAGCAGAAAGACAGACGATTAAAGGTTCACATGTTCTTTGTTAATTTGTTTCGTTTCAAAAGTAAAAGTTCAAATTCATACAGTAAATACCTCTCTAATCAGGAAACAATTGGTAAACAACCCAATCTGAAAAGCCTGAACATAAAGCCTACCTAGCTGGTTAGAGCAATGCAACTCCGTAAATTAAAGAGGTAGTATGACTTACCTGGCTAGTTTCATCATGCACCTGATACTTTGCCAATGACATTCTTCTTTCCTCCTGCAAATAAAATTAACCAATGTAACAAGTTAGCAACAACGAACAAGACTAGCAAAGTGGAAAAATAATCATTTAGGAAAATTAAGAACGACTTACCATGGACATAGCCTCATCATCCCAAACTAGATACACCTCATTAGCAGCTGGCTGGGGAGCAGGAGCTTTGTTTGCAATTACAGGGGGTGGTCCAATTGATGGACCACCAGTGTTTGGACCAGATGCATAAGAGTGTGAATTAACACCTGTAGTAATTAAATGAAAAGGATATGTCAGATTCACAAGCCTTGCACATACGGAATCTACAATCCAAAGGCATCAACATGGAGAATTTAGCAATGTGGGAGGTATTCATTATTGCAGTGGGAAAATAAATAAGGCTTAGCATACCAGAACAATTACAAGAAGGAACATAAAAGATGCCTTTGCAATATTCAAACATTTAAGATAACAAAGCGAAAACTAGCCGTTGATAGCATATCCAAATTTGAAGTGACTAAAACAGAACTCTCTACAAGGATCTCAAAAAGCAACTTGAATGCTAAAGAACAAAAGAAAATCTGAGGCAGCTACAACTTATTTTATCAGACATGAGGGATAAGTCGAAGTTAAAGCAAGAAGACAGCTCTGACACCATACTGCTATCATGAACGCAAAGGAAAAAAACACATTTTTGAATTTTTCGAGACTTTAAATGAGTCGAACTCTTCCAATACTAAAATAATCTTCAGTTTTGAAAATTTCGAAATGCAGACAGTTTGAATTGCCTTTAAACAATAAAACAATTGTAGAAAAACAATAACTAAATGAGCAATTATGTAAATCAATAATAAGAAATCAAAACTGAGACACTTAGATAACTACTTGTTTGGAAAGTTTTAGCACCTTGATAAGCATCTGTTGAGCCTTTAACTTCAACTGGAGAACTAAAGGGAATACTGGTTGAAAGCAAACGAGGAGAAAAGGGAGAACTTTGTGTTGGTACATTATTTATACCAACAACAGGAAACAGGGGTTGTGATACAGGAGCAGGAGGCATGGATGTAGTAAGCCCAGGAGGAGCTATATGTGGAGGCAGAGGTCCGGGGATTGTTGTTGATGGTAGAGGTGGCCTCCCATTCTGCACAGGGAACAATGGTTGCTGCACATAACCCAATGAGGAAGGAGGAGGTACTGAGACTGATGGAGGCTGTGGATACCATGGCTGGGGACGAGGTGGAACTTGCCAAGCATTCGGAGGCACTGGAACTGCAGAACTGTACCTGGAGTGAACAAAAACGAAAAGAAACAAACAGATAACTTGTTTATGTAAATGCTAATTATGTACTGCAGACAACATAATTTTAAAATTTCACAAAGCTGGTTAGAGAGGACATGCAAGAACCTGACAGAACACATACATTGGCCGCATTGCACCCAAAGGTGGTTGGGGAGGATATGCAATCCCCATCGAACCTGGCACCATACCACCAACAAACTGGGTTGTTGGGATGTCTACTTTAGCTACTTTTGATGGACCGTCTTCATCTGCATATAAATAGAGATATTTAGAAAATAAACTTAATATACATGATTAATGCTATAACTTCAAAAGAAGCCATAAACTACTCAAAATGATAGGTATTGCACACTTTTTCTTGGTTTGATTTATCTTTAGCTTATAAATGAGATATCACTTTCAAATTTTATTGCACAGACAAGATAAAACCATGACAAAACATTTTATGCAGGAATTCATATATGTCCAGATTAGGACATCCGGATCCATATGAATGTGTATTTGCAAAAGTACACATAAGCACAACTTGGTTCAACCAAGAACACATGAGAATTTGAAAAACTATTACATGGGCAAAATACAATCATTAAACTACTTATATTGAATAAGTATTACATGGATACTGCTATGAACACTCTGATGGTATGTCTAATTCAATACAAACAAAGAAGTTCAATATCAATGAGTCCATCTATGCATAGTTGCATCTACCAGCACATCCAGGTCATAATTTAATGTGAGTCAAACCCAACGACATCATAAACCAGTTGAATTTGAGCATTAAAATAAAATAAAAATTCACACGTCATCAAATACCAATGATGTTAACATAACATTAAAATAAAATATCAAAAATTGTCTGGATAAACATCAATTACTTGTACGGATCCTTTACCTTCCTCTCCATAATGTGCAGCCAAGACGTGCGGTGGGATTCCTTGCATCCCATATATTTCAATATCCGTTGACTCCCTGTCAGCCTTCGCATTGGGAACTCTATAAAACAGAGTTTTAACAGTTTGAAAATCAGTAGAATGAAATTATGATAAGGAAGTATTTGAGGCACAACTTATATATAGTCAACATTGTTTAACCCTACTCTATAATAGTTAATGAAAAAGATCCAGTGAGATAGTGTAACTACAAACAATTAATAACTACAACCATCTATGACAAACTTATTATGTTCCAGTTAGAAAAATTGAACCATGGCTTTTGATTATGTTTTTTTCTTATTAGAAAAATGGAAGACAGGTAACAGTTCAAGTAGAAATATATTGACAGTTACATTTTGGTCCTAACTCCTAATACAGTAGACAAAGTTTAAGTTTAACTTCATCATCAGCATATATTTATATCCATTACAGAATTATCTATGGGCATAAAAACCCTCTTAAACTTATACAGGGTAAGAGTTTAAATCAGTATATTATCTTCCTGAGGTTTCATGGGCTCTCTTATTATCAAGCAGGCCCCATATGTATATGAGTTCACATTACAGTATATCCCAACAAAACGAAACCCAATTCATATTAACAGCCTCATTGTTTCCTGGATTCCCAATTGTACCAAAATTACAAGCACTCACAAAATATTCCCCAGTCCCATACTTTTGCACTTGATCCACCTTCAAGCTACCAAAATTATAAACACCTACAACCCAACTTTGCTCGAAAATCTAAGAAACGGTCAGAGCCTATCAATTCCATTGATTATTAAGTTGCCCCTATGCAGCTAACAAAAAGCTAAAATCCCAAACTATCTTCAGCTAAAATTTTCTACAACTGCCGAGCCCGCATTACAAAATTCACACCCAAGTCCCAAATGTCCAAATTGTGCGATTTTTCGAAACCATGAATTTCTATGAAGACCCAAATCTAATTATAACAAAACAAAAACGATAAATATCATAAATTTACACAGCAAAAACAAAAACTGATCAATATCATATTCTAAAATAACAAATTCAGCGACGAAACAAAAAGAAAAAAAATTAGGGTTTTTGACAATTGGGGGAAAAGGTATAGAAAGCCATACTTGGTGACGCTCTCTTTGTGGACCTGGAGGACGTGAATGGCCATGCCACCGGCGGTGGAGAGCTTCTTGTGGCAGACATGGCACTTAAAATGCTTGGCTTTCTGGTGCTGCACCAGTATCTTCTCATCGTCGAACTCTCTATCGCAGTAGTAGCACCACACCTTCGACGCCACTCTCTTCTTCTTCTTTCCCATATTTCCCTTCTTCCCCCTCTACCCTCCTTCTGCAACCCTCTTCTTCCTCCTCTCCTCTGGTTCTTCTCCTCCTTGTCTTCCTCTCTCTCTCTCTCTCTCTCTCTCTCTCTCTCTCTTCTCTCTGAGCCTTTGGTTTTGGTATTTGAGTTTTTGTTTTGGGGTTTTTTCTCCCTGTGATCTGTGATTTGTTGAATATCATGTATTTGTATTTATAGTTTATAAATTTTTATTTTTACCCAGTAAGTAATTGGCTAGGGCTTTTTCCAATTGGTTCTAGTAGATAAGAAATAAATAAAAGGCTGGGCACATATTGGGTTTACCAGAGTTGAGGGCCAACTCACTTCTTGCCCGCTCACGTGATACCATTAATTTACGTATTATGTCATATGACAACGATAGTCACACTCAAATTTACAAAAACACATGTTGTCTCGTAAGAATATAATCCATCATTTTTCTTTCCTTTAGACAAAAAGTTTGTTACTCGATAAAGTTTAGACCGGATATTACTTAATCAAACCGCCATTGGCAATTGATCTTGTCTAATTATATTGCGATTTAATAACGCTCTTTCAAGAACATATACGACATGTTACTTACCAGGAATTGGTATTCATGGGTATCATTCTCATTCCCGACATGTCTTGCATTTACTGACCCACGACATGCCCTTAACGTGACTTTCCATGATCTTTTGCACATAAAACCCATCTCAGATTCTCGGTTAGTTCCATCCAAAATGTTTGACAATTGCCATGAGTTAAGAAAAAAAAAGGGTAATTGCACCATCATCCTCCAACACTAAGATTTAACTGAAAAATAAGGGGTGATGAGTACACCTACAGTTGCAAGTGAAATTACAACCAGAAAGAAACTTGTGATAACATCGTCTCAGGTTCAATAGCAGCCGGCAAAGACGAAAGTAAGCGTACATGTATCAAATGGATTCTTAAACAGTATCTAGTCTGCAGACTGCAGCATTTAAATTTGTGTTCTTCGTTCTTCTTACAGTGGAAACGGGGAAACAGCGTATCCTACTCTTCTTTCTTGGAGGATTGGGAAGAACTATCAGCGCCACCTTTTAACTTGCTTACACTAGCTTCGGCTTCAGCAAGAAATGCAGGATCAGGCTTGTGTTGGTCTGAAGGCTCTTTCATTGCCATATATATGTAAAATGCGATAACTACGTTGACAGATATAACAGCAAGGAATCCGCTCAACAATGTGAGTGAATAGGGAGACATCTCGCTTACACCTGCTTCAAATGAATAACAGCCTTGCTCAGAGAACCCAAAAGGAAACCGAGGCAAGAAAACAATTTAATCCTAGCTACAAAAATGTTGATCCAGTTATCATATACTTCTCCGACAAGGCAAGTCATGAGATCAAGTCCTAAGATTGTTGATCACAGACATTCACTCACAAGATTGTGATAAGGGCATGCCTTCTCGGTAATTTTGTTATATGCACGCAAGGGATTACGTTTTCTCTTTAAGTTTCCTACAGCAATAGTGCCTTAGACAAGATTACCCACTATTGGAAATATAAGTTCTAACAGTTGGCACCAGTTATACTTGACAATAGGATGCAATCTTCATATTATAAATCACATTCACTGTAGCCACTACGTAATTCGCAAAAACAATATAGATCCTAATGACAATTTTTTCATGGGAATTTAGAGGTCATTAATTGGAATTTGGAAGCAAGATTTAGAAGACTTGATTGAGATAAAAATTTCAATTATCACGACACTAAGCGTGAGATGGACAAACTCTAAGGTGCTGTAGGAACTACAAAAAGGTCATAAGGACTTATACAAAATGCAAACTAGAAATAGTCTGCTTATTTAGAAAAAAATTGGTAAGCACGCAAACATTATAAAAAAGAATATTTAGGTAGATAATTGGATAGTAATATAGCACTAAGAAAAAATACCCAGCATAACACCAGTGCAAGTTTTTGTTTGAATGACTCTATAAGGGACCTCAAATAAGATGCAGTACTTGACACAATAGCCTTACCAGGAAGCAAATTATTGTTAAACGCATATAATATTGCAACGGGAATTACCACATAAACATTGATGCAGTAACGAACTTTTGTATCACTCCTGCCATTGTTATCTCCAATCTACAGAAGAAAGGGGAAAACAATCATAACCAACAGAACAACAAATCACAGAGAACAATAAGCCATAAGCAAACATTACAAAGAGAAAGCTGTACAAGACTATCAAGCCAGATATGCAACAAGTAGGCCATAATCATAGTTCATTGGCATCATTGCTAGCATTTAGCTTATGCAAGTGAATTTCGGGACAAATAACTGAAACCAGTTCCTATCTGTACCTAAACATTATTTTTAATGATCCTAAATTCATCGAATCGAAAGTTATATCAATTACCCAGAAAAGAAAGAATTACAACCATGAGTGATATACAAATTTGTTACAGACATGAGTGGAATACAAATTTGATCTGGATGTCTCTTAGGATACTTCTATGCAGGGCATAACTGAAGTATTAACTACAAGATTTTTACTGGGATATGAGATACCACTTGAAAGCAATCTATATACAAATAAAGACCAAAACTTTTCAGTGCAATCAATCAAGAAGCAATCACCAGTGAACAAAGGCACCCAAATTTCAAAACTTTACAAGGTTTCTGAACAGGGTAACACAGTATGAGATTGACCCAGAAAGATCTAAGCTCACACACACATTTAATCGAACACTAGGTGTGCGCATACTCAAACGACAAAATAATGGAGCGAGAAAGAGCGTACCTAAGCGACAGCCTTGGATCGGGAGGTTGAAAGTAAACTAGAAACGATTTGACTTCCCAACGTTAGCTTGGCTGTTGTGCAAGCCGATCGATTCCGCTACAGAAATTGCATATTCTGTGCGATATGAAACAGCTCTGAAGTGGGTGTTCGAACAATTCACTACTTCGGAAGCAAAACCTGTGTTTTGGATGCTGGAATTCAGAAGCAAAGCTTCAAAAACAAGAGGCTGCCTGCTACGCTGGCTAGGTGCGCTACAATTATGAGCCGTTGAGATCTATCCTACGGTGAGTGTTTTAAACGAGCTCATGTGTAGAAACGGGTAAGATATCATGAGACCGTTTAAAACACCCAACTATGGTAAATAAGAAAACGGTTTTTTTTTTATTTTTTATTTGAAGTTTTAACGAAAAATTATATTTTAATCTTTTTTTTTTTGATATTATTCATTATACATTTATTTATTTTTTTTCATTAAAACTAAAAAAAAATTTGGACATTTTTTTTTTTTTTTGCTATGATTTATGTTCAATTTCACTCTGTCTTTTGAAACAAAATTTGTGTCATTTTGTTTTTTTAAAATTCAATTTTCGTCTATTTTGTCACATTCTGTCAAATTTTTAAGAAAACTCTAGTGTGCCCACCTACATGCTGACATGTTTGCCACATTAGCTTGTCAAAGCTTTGGTTCCATCTCATCTTCGATTCTTATTTCGTTAAACAATACCTGACTACTCAAAGATGAGTAGGAAATCCTACTTAAAATTTCTCAAAATTGTTCATTGTCAATTTATAGAACTTTGTGTTTATAATTAGAATCGTTCAAATTCTAAACCACCCTATAAATATGACATCTACAAAAAATGAATTAAGGTCGTTTAGTCATCAAATTGTTTGAAAACAAATAAACAGTATTGGTAAAAGCATTACGAACCGTCTATGTATTTGCTACAATAGATAGACTAAACAACCTTAGTTTTAATTTATTTTTTTGCATAGATGATCTTTACAGTGTGATTTATAGTATGAATGATTCTGATCATAAGTGTAGAGCCAAAAATAATCAAGAGGCGACACGTGGATTTTTAGGTGAAGATGACAAAATTACCCTCAAGACACATCGGGTTTACTATACACAAGCAGTGGAGAATCATCCATCAACCGAGTCAAGAGTGTCCAAAATAGGTAACAAGTTCAAATTTATCTCATCCATCTTTACTCCATATCCTTTACAAGGAAATCATTCCATAAACTTCAAAACCTTCCTTATAAATTAAATTAATTAGGCTAATTAATGGATTAATTCCTAATTAATCCATTAATCACCCAATTAATCACCCATTAATCACCAAATTAATCACCATTACACCACCCAAAAAACATCTAAGGGTCGGCCACTCTCTTTTCCAAAGAGGGCCGGCCATGCTCTATAAATAGGACTCCATTTTCTTTGAAAGACTAGTTCCACGCTCTTGCACAACTCTCAAAAACTCTCCAAACACTTTTCTCTCTAAATTCTAACTTTGACATTGGAGGTTCTTCAGCCAAAGCCCCTCTCATTCATTGTGGGCGCGTGAGGCTCTTGGCCTTGACCTAAGGTGTTAATTGTTTTGTAGGTGCAATTTTGTCCAAGAAGAAGGAGGAAATTTGCATCCACAAATTAGTGCTTTCATTGAGAGTTGAAATTCACACTCGTAGAAGACTCTCGCATAAAAAGGTTTTTTCTCTATTTTCTAGTCCATTTGTATTTTTCTTACGTTCTTATTATTAGAATTTTTTATTTGCAAAGATTCTTTGATAAAACGAAAAAGAGAAATACAATGGCTAGAAATTTAGAAAACTCCATGAGTGAAAATTCTAATATTCAAGAAATGGGACCGCGGCGATCCACGAGACTAAATGTGATCCTAGGGGGAATGGCACCACCACCACCACAAGGTTCAACCATGGGAACCATCGCGGTGGCCACCCGCAACGAGGTCCATGGCACCACTACCACGGCCCAAGCCGTGCCACCAAAGTAAGCCCAAGTTGTGCCATCCAAGGTTCATGGCACCAAGGCCATGACCCAAGCCATGTCAATCCAAGACCAGCGTAAGCCCAACGCATTGCCAAGCCGAGCCTTAGCCTCACACCCATGTGTGCCACACGCCGAGTAGCCCACTTGCATGGCCTAACCTGCTCCCACTGAGCAGCCTGCTTTCGTGGCCCAGCCTGATGTTGCTGAGCAGTCTACTCTCGTGGCCCAGCCAGCTCCCGTGGTCCAAATTGCTCCTACCAAGTAGCCTAATCTCGTGGCCCAGCCAACTCCCGTGGTCCAACTTGCTCCCACCGAGCAACCTATCCTGTGGCCCAACCTGCTCCCGCAGCCCAGTCTGCTATCGTGGCCTTCCAAGCAGCCCAAATCGGTCCAAGACTAGTTCAATCATCCCGGCTCCAAATTTCCAGACCGATGATCAAACCGAGAGCATTTTCACCGTATTTTTCTATGGATTTGACATTTCCCAGCTCAAATCTCGCTCCCGGAGTCTACCACACTTCCACTGCTTAAGGAGAAACATTCCTTCTAAGCTCTTCCAATCCAAATGGCGAACAACACTTGTCTTAACAAGTCATAGAGTTGACGAGTGTTCTAACACAGCAGACGACCTTGGTGAACCAGCTCTTGCAGTGCACCAAGATGCAACGTGTTCCAAACAAATCCCGAAGAAGGACAAAGGTAGACGAAGAACCTCTCCAGTAGTGTCTCGACAAGTAGCCACTCGACCAGCCACGAACCGAGCGTTTGGGCAGTATACACTCCCGATTAGGCCCCTGAGATAGCGTATACTCCCGTCTTAGCGCGCGGATGAGCGTGCACTCTTGGTTAGGCCCATGGATGATCATAAATTCATGGTTGGGGTCACACTCCGATAGTCAACATGAGCAACCTTTCAAGCGAAATGTTCATTCGTAGCTAAGCCCGCAAAGAGCATCATCCACCTCACATCAGAGTAGGCAGCACGATGGACGGAGAGAAGCAGTCACTCAATTTAGCTCAAGTTTAACCGGTAGCCTGCGAAGAACTCGCTCACCTGCTAGGAACGCACCACACGCATCGCATCAACGGCATAGACGAGCCAAACACATGGAAGAGCAGCCTAGAACAACAAGTCACGACTGGGGGCAGCCGAGGGCTCTGCCACCCCCAACAAAGGCAAATTCAGGAAGAAGTAGAAATACTCTTGAACGAATGATTGCCTGATTTCCCACGCAACGAAGCTATTGACAAGGCGCTCCGATAAGACATGACCAACATGAGCGAGTCATCTTTCAATGACAAGATCGAGCAGACGGGACCACCCCATATAGATTGCTGGATATAAAGATTACTTCTGTTCTAACAAATGTAGCAGCTCAGCCTAATAGCACGTCGAGGGTAGACGAGTACCAAAAGGACACGCCTAGCCCCACTACCAAGAATCGGGGGTAGGCTAAGGATTATTTCGGTTGTCCCGGCAGTCTAGCTTTCCTTAGCTGCACTCACGATAATGATTTCCATGCTCTCCAATGCGAGAGGGTAAACCAATTCCCTGACACCCAAAAGGGTATGGTCTCCAGTGTAAGAGGATAAACTAATTGCTCTCTAGTGCGATAGAGTAAACCAATTCCCCGACACCCAAAAGGGTCTGCTCTCCAGTGCGAGAGGATAAACTAATTGCTCTCCATTGCGAGAGGGTAAACCAATTCCCCGACACCTTATGGGTATGATTTCTAGTGCGAGAGGATAAACTAATTGCTCTCCAGTGCGAGAGGGTAAACCAATTCCCTGACATTCGTATAGGTCTGTTTTCCAGTGCGAGAGGATAAACTAATTGCTCTCCAGTCCAAGAGGGTAAACCAATTCCCCGACACCCATATGGGTTTACTATTTAGTATGAGAGGGTAAACTAATTGCTCTCTAGTGTGAGAGGGTAAACTAATTGCTCTCCAGTGCGAGAGGGTAAATTAATTCCTTGACACCCATTTGGGTAAGCTTTCCAGTGCGAGAATGCCACATAGCTTAAAAGATCGAATGCTTGAAGATCAACTAGGCAACAAATGGTCAGGGGGCAACAACCACTTTTGCACTTAACAGTTCACTTATCCGACACTTCATCTTCAACAGCTCCGATCTTAGCAGCTTTATCCTTGACTGCTCCATCTATGACAGCTGAGAAATCAAACTCAAGCAGTTTCCTCATTTTTGGCAAAGCAGCCCAAACCATTGCTCATGCCACGTCACTTCCTTGGCCCATGCCGAGCCAATCCTTGGCTTCAATCAAGCAATGGCCCCTGTCACACCACCTTCTTAGCCCATAACAAGCCGACTTCTGGCCCCTGCTAGCCGACGTGCCACACCACCTCAACAGCTGCCCCGTGGCAACACCTCCCAAGAAGAAGACAAAGAGAATTAAGTTTTCCTTACATCGGTGCGGCGCGAAGAAGACGAAGAAAGCAACGAAAGGCGATCATTTGCACGGGCAAGTGTAGAAAATTACTAGGGGAGGAGGAACAAATATCCTCTAAGCTTTTTCTCTCTTGTAAGGTAGAATAAATGGCTCTCCAAAGTTGATTTAACAAACCACTTAAGGTGGACTTAAATAGGCTTTGAGAGAAATTTATTTCCCTTTCCTAGAATGATCTAATTTCATATTAAAGAGATAATCTACATCAAAATAGGAAGCAGTCCTAGAGCAAGAATATCTCTACACCTATTGCCCTTTCCTATGAGCAGCCCAGCAGGTGTGGGGGCATTTATGGAGCCAAAAATAATTAAGAGGCGACACGTGGATTTTTAGGTGAAGATGACAAAATTACCCTCGAGACATACCGGGTTTCCTACACGCAAGCAGTGGAGGAATCCATCAACCGAGTCATGAGTGCCTAAAATAGGTAACAAGTTCAAATTTATCTCATCCATCTTTACTCCATATCTTCTACAAGGAAATCATTCCATAACCTTCAAAACCTTCCTTATAAATTAAATTAATTAGGCTAATTAATGGACTAATTCCTAATTAATCCATTAATCACCCAATTAATCACCCATTAATCACCATTACACCACCCAAAAAACATCTAAGGGTCGGCCATGCTTTATAAATAGGACTCCATTTTATTTGAAAGACTAGTTCCACACTTTTGCAAAACTCCCAAAAACTCTCAAAACACTTTTCTCTCTAAATTCTAACTTTGGCATTGGAGGTTCTTCGGCCAAAGCTCCCCCATTCATTGTGGGCGCGTGAGGCTCTTGGCCTTAACCTAAGGTGTTAATTATTTTGTAGTGCAATTTTGTCTAAGAAGAAGAAAACGGAGATTTGCATCCACAATAAGCACAAAGCTCTGTGATTAAAACACTAAGAGTTTTAAGTAGGAGCTCCTACTCATCTTTTAGTAGCCAAGTATTGTTCTATTTCGTTGGCCGTTTTCTGTGCCTCCAACTCGATTGGCAAACGCACGTACTAAGTACTTTTGTTATATATTAACAGATGAAATAATCGTTACACATGCCACTTGGTATAGAAAATGCTATACTCCACTTACTTTTGCCACCAAATTATTTAGTAGTTTACTTCAAAGACAAAATCAACCTTGTGGGATTTGAACTTTTATCATTTTTAACTTATTTATTTGTGAAATGTGATTTTCACACTTTTTATGCATTTATTATTATTATTATTATTTATAGTTGTTGGATTGAATAAGTCAAAGAGAATTAAGGATATACATAAAATAATGAATTGAGAAGGAGAAAACAGAAATGCAAAAATCATTTCACCTATCTAGCTAACATAATAAACCTATATTTTCTAAAGCCCTTTGAGTTAGATCAACTGGCGAGTGAGGGTGGTCTAATTCGTCAGAGTTAGAATTGATTCAGGTTATCAATCAACGGTGATTTTCTCACTCTATTTTTTTCCTGGTGTTCTCTTCTTGATTATGTTTTCCATTCTTTGTAATGCCGGCATGTTGGAAGGTATACATTGACATAAAAAAACTCGTGAGGTATGGAGACTAGTTTCCTGCTCAAGATTTTAAAACTGAATCATGACAGATATCCCATCTTATTGCACTAACATATGATTGTTATCTTCATTCGAAGTTTTTGGAAACTTTCTTGGGGATGGAAGACGTCACATCCAAGTTCGACTCTGCCGTAGCACGATATTGTCCGTTTTTGGCTTACCATTCCCTCACAGGATTTATTTATGGGAATTCAGACGAGAACTTCCCAATGGGTCACCCAGCCTAGGATTGCTCTCATCCGAACTCGCTTAACTTGGGAGTTCCGATAGAATCCGAAGCCAGTGAGTTCCCAAAATGTCTCGTGCTATAGGGAGGGGAATATGTACATATAAGGCACATCACCCCCTCTCTGTTGGTCGATGTGGGATCTCACAATCCACCTCACTTAAAGGGAACCCGGCGTCCTTGCCAACACATCCGCATTGAACGGCAGAGTGGGCTCTGATACCATTCTATCACATCCTAGTCACGGCTCCACCATAGCACAATATTGTCCGCTTTGGGCCCCAGCCACGCCTTCATGGTTTTGTTTCTGGGAACTCACGCGAGAACTTCCCAGTGGGTCACCCATCCTGGGATACTCTCGCCCGAACTTGCTTAACTTCGGAGTTTCGATGGAATCCGAAACCAGTGAGTTCCCAAAAGGCCTCATGCTATAGGGAGGAGAGCATGTACATATAAGGCACATCACTCCCTATCCGTTGGTCGATGTGGGATCTCACAATCCACCCCACTTAAGGGAAACCTATCGTCCTCGCTAGCACATCCTTATCGAACAACAGAGTGGCTCTAATATCATTATGTCACATCCAATCTGACTCCTTTATAGCATGATATTGTCCGCTTTGGGCTTACCATTCCTTTATGGATTTGTTTCTGGGAACTCAGACGAGAACTTCTTAGTGGGCCACCCATCTTGGGATTGCTCTCGCTCGAACTCGCTTAACTTCGGAGTTTCGATGGAACCCGAAGCCAGTGAGTTCCCAAAAAGTCTTGTGCTATATGGAGGTGGGCATGTACATATAAGGCACATCACCCTCTCTCCCTTGATTGATATAGGATGTTACAATCCACCACCCTTAGGGGCTCGACGTCCTCGTCGACACATTAGACTACACGACAGAATGGCTCTGATACCATTCTGTCACATCCCAGTTTGGACTATGTTGTAGCACGATAGTGTCCACTTTAGGCCCTGGCCACGTCGTTATGGATTTGTTTCTAGGAACTTAGACGAGAACTTCCCAGTAGATCACCCATCCTAGAATTGTTTTCGCCCAAACTTGCTTAACTTCGAAGTTCCGATGGAATCCGAAGTCAGTGAGTTCTCAAAAGGCCTCGTGCTATAGGGATGGGAACATGTATATATAAGGCACATCACTTGCTATTCGTTGGTCGATGTGGGATCTCACAATCCACCCCACTTAAGGGGAACCCAGCGTCCTCACCGGCACTTCCGCACCGAACGGCAGAATGGCTTTGATACCATTCTGTCACATCCCAGTCTAACTCCACCGTAGCACGATATTATCCGCTTTGGGCTTACCATCAAAACTCCAAAGTTAAGTGAGTTAACAAAAAACCTCGTGCTATATAGAGGTGAGCATGTACATTTAAGGCACATCACCCTTTCTTCATTGGTTGATGTGGGATGTTACAATCCACCCCCCTTAGGGTCCTGACATCCTTGTCGGCACACTAGACCACACGATAAAGTGGCTATGATACCATTATGTCACATCTCAGTCTCGACTCTGCCGTAGCACGATATTGTCCATTTTGGGCCCCGGCCACGCCCTCACAGATTTGTTTCTGGGAACTCAGACGAGAACTTCCCAGTGGGTCACCCATCCTAGGATTGCTTTCGCCCAAACTCGCTTAACTTCGGAGTTTAGATGGAATCCGAATCTAGTGAGTTTCCAAAAAGGTCTCGTGCTATAGGGAGGGGAACATGTACATATAAGGCACATTATCCCTCTCCATTGGTTGACGTAGGATCTCATAATCCACCCTACTTAAGAGGAACCTAGCGTTCTCGCCTACACATCCGCACCGAACGGCAGAGTAGCTTTGATACCATTCTACCACATCCCAGTCCGACTTCGCCGTAGCACAATATTGTTCCCTTTGGGCTTACCATTCCCTCACGGATTTGTTTCTGGGAACTCAGACGAGAACTTCCTAGTGGATCACCCATCCTGAGATTGTTTTCCCTGAACTCGCTTAACTTCGGAGTTCTGATGGAAATCGAAGCCAGTGAGTTCCCAAAAGGTCTTGTGCTATATGGAGGTAGGCATATACATATAAGGCACATCACCCCCTCTCTGTTGGTTGATGTGGGATGTTCAGTGACGGCCAGCATGCTTCGACCGTCTTAGGTCGTGGTGTTTCAGAAGAATTAGATTGCTTTTACTAACACATTGAGCATTACCAAAATTCCACTAGACTATATAGTCTATATTACAAGATGAAAGTACACAGAGAAGCCTAAACACAAAACAAAAGGGAGCCCTAATTTACATTAAAGCATTTATGCCCATTTGGCCAAGAGGGACATACATCCAGAGCCCAGAAGAAGTGAGACATTAGCCCCAAGCTGGATCCTTAGATTGCTTTGCATTCTAGGGTTCATGAAATCTGCTGCTAGTAGGTCAACCAGAGCCATGTATATTAGGATCCCAGCTGATGCAGAGTTGAAAACTCCTTCCACGATTAGAGCACTTGGGCTGGTCTCGTTGTAAATGTTTGATATTCCCATTCCAACACCAATTCCAATTGGGGTTGTGAGGGAGAAGAAAAGCACCATTGTTGCAATGGCCCTGGACTTAAAGTTGGCCTGCACAGACAATGGAAACATCATTTAAAATATAGAAATTGTAATGGAGTTTAACCTAACTCACAATTCTAAAATGTTTTCGGATTTGGGGAGTGAGGGGATATTTTGTCTTGCCATCGGGTATATACATCAAACGACAAAATTTATACAAAGACAAGTGTATATATCTAGTGACAAGACAATTTTACGTAACTGTGGGATTATGAATAAACTTGTGGGACTAGGGACCCTCATTAGTGAAAAGACACATCAATCCAAGTACCCTAAAACATGAATGTTGACTTTCAAAAAATGCTGAGATGAACTGATGTGTGAGGCATTTTAGTCGTGATGGAATGCAGTTGAATCCTACAAAGGATATGCAGGATCTCTGAATATGCACCTAGAAGATTACGTGACAACATCAACAAGACCATTTGGAGCTCTAAACCCCACAAAATGGTACCCATGTGGCCATGTGAAAATCGGTAAATGGCTAGAACATCATAGAAAGCATGTTTTCACTTGAAGTTTGACACATTAAACATGTTAATATGTATCCTACTATTGAATATCACATAGGAGGGGAAAGGTGGTGTATATTTGGCTTTTGAGAAAATTGGAGTATTGGTCTCTAAAAATTGCCTAATTAGAGTTTTAATTATGAATTAAAAGTTCATGAGTATTAATCATTTAATATGTCATAATGTGAAGCAATGGGTCCTGGTTAGTAATAGCATCAGAACATTTGTCAAAGTAAAGTGTTTAAAGGAGAATATAACAGATCAAAGTTCATGGACCAAAACTCCATTTCGACTAAAATTCAATAACCAATCTAATTTTCTATTCCATATTTTTAAGAGTAATGCTAGGTAAACCAAATTTCTAGACCAAATTTGCAAATATGATGTGTCACCAATAAAAAAATAAGCACGTTAATCAACACTTAAGTAATAATTTAATCATTATCAACCACATCATTTGGTTTAAATGTTGGTTTTTCTAGCACTACTCCAATTTTAATCTACTGAAAGAGATTCAAATTTAAGTGTAAGACAACAAGCACATTGCCCTAACTAGCTAGTCACCATTTATGCAGGGGGATTAAATGATAATGAAACAAGAATGAAATGTTTGAGGAAATTGATGATACCTGAGTTATGCACCCACCAAGGCCCATGCCTTCGAAAAATTGATGGAAAGTAAGAGCTGCTACAAGAGGTTTGATTGTCTTGGGACTCTGTGAGGCACCTAAAGATATCCCAATAATTACTGAATGAACCAAAATTCCCAGCTCCAGAACCTAAAAATTATTCATGCAAAGAATTTACATAATTAAATCAGAAAAATTGCATAGATAAAAATAAACATATACAAATTAGAAACTGCCATTAACACTTCAAAATTTTTATTATGTAATACTCATATGTGTATTTTTCTTATTAATTATAAAAAATATAAAGAATTTTTTTTTTTTAGAGTGCTAACAATAATTATCTTAAATTAAATTAAATACCCCAAAACTAGTTAATATAAAAGAAATTAATAAAACTGGTGAGTAAAAAACAGTGGAAACAGTGAAAACACAGATCAACCCAACAAAATGTAGCACCAAAAAATTGAACCATTAACTTGAAAATCCAAACCAACTCTACCTGTGATATCACTCGATTCCTAACAATTTCGAAAGAAGAAATTGAATCCTCCGGTGCAATCGCGCCAGAACCGTGAGCATGGCCGTGTGTGGCATGTGCGTGAACATGCACATGACCCTGGTGCACCCCATTCATCTCTTCATCCTCCTTCACTGGCAGTGCTTTGGTGAAATGTGATCTTCTATAGTAGCTGGTGGCAAAGGTGTCGATCATCATCGTCCCAATCGCTGAAAGCATGGCAATGAAGCCAGTAAACGGGAAGCTGTCCCACAGGGTTTCGCTAAGGCAAGGGCTTCTCAAGCTCTCAAAAGCATCCGGTAGCACATGGATGAACCCTGTTGCTAGAATCACACCGGCCGCAAAAGCCTTGATCAGGAAGAAGATGTCGTTTTCGGTGTTTAGAGCCGGAATTTTCTTGCCCAACATTGGAAGGGAGACACCAAGGAAACTTGCCATGAGGATTGAACTTATCGCAACTAGCTTGAACTTGAGGACTTTGAACTTGTCATGGTCTAGGGTTTCCGAATTGCATTCACATTCCACGGAAGCTGAGATGGGGACAAAACGAAGGAGAAGAAGGAGAAGAGGAAGAGGAAGCGTATGAGTGAGAGTGAGCTTTTTCATGGCTATCAGTGAAAGGGGGGAGGGGGGAGAGAAAGAGGGAGAGAGAGAAGGTTTTGAAATGGGGTTGTGGAGTGGTGAGCATGCTCACTTTATATATGAGTTGGAGAATTTGGGGAAAGCAAAAGGCATTAAGGTAAAAATGGCGACATGGAATTCAGTTCTGTTTGTTAGGAAGGGAAGTGGGGTTGGCAACTGTATAGTTAGTGAAGCCAAATGACGACATTATGTGTTAACGCAACAGTTTAAAGGAGGTTGGAGGATTTTAGTTAGGTTTTAGACTTTAGATCACTATCTAAACTGTCACTTATGACCACTGACTGGGACTCGGGGGCATAAGTATTTATTAGGGATGGCAGAAAAAAGCCCTCAATGTTCCATTTTGGAATGGAATTGGCCATTGCATGAGCATGGTTTTTGTTCAATACTTAGGAAAAGGAATTGACTTGTTGTGTGGGGCACATCAAGCACCAAAACGGTTTTGATTTTAACAAAAAAGGTTATATTCTGGTCATGGGTCTTGACTCATAGTCATGTTTAACATAGATTAGAATGTATATCGTCACATCGTTATATTGTATTGTTAATTTATTTATGTTGTAATATATTTATTTATTAAGTATCGATCATGCTATCCAGCCATATTATACAAGTGACAGTGTGTTAGCTTTAAGATGACAATTTCACATACTGCACTCACACGTACCAAAATTTATTAGAAAGGACAAAAAATTCTTAACATTTTTAGTCTTCTTCTAAGAACGTACTGTTCAATATCGTAAAGAGCTTTGTTTTAGGAGGTCTGCCTTTGAAATTAAGAGTGATGTACTGTAGCTATGAGTTATGCTAACAACAGTTGCTTAACACATTGACAATTTGTAAACGCGGAATCGCTGAAACATTGTAGACGCCACTTGCACGTGCATCAATGGTTGATATCCTGAGCACTGTAGTATTTCTCTTGTTTCCTATATGTTCACGTTGAAGTCGAGTGATTTTCTAACATTGATGACAACAATACTACTGATATTCCTTAAAATCGAAACATTATAGAGATATTTATTTCTGAAACCAAACAACAAAAATATAAGTGCATGCCAGTTGCATTTCAATATTTTTTCATCCGAAACAAGCTTTATATATAGTTTGTATCAAATGCCATACGCAAAAAGTACAATAAAATATAGAAAAAGAATAAGTTCTGCGTTAAATATATAGGAATTGGATTCTCTCCGAGGCAAAGCTTTGGAATCCTCCTGATCAAACAACACGAGCGGTTGATTTTGATCTAACGACTACAATTATTATAACTTTTAGAAGGATCCTCTTGTTTGTAGCCGTTGAATCAAAATCCAACAGCCCGTGTTGTTCGATCAAAAGGATCCGAAGGCTTTGCCTCGGAGAGGATACAATTCCAAATATATATATGCTAGAAAAAGAATAAGTTACACGATTATCTCTGATACTTTATGCGGACAGAAGAAGACTCCCCACATTGAAAGCTTTTAGAAAATAACATATATATTTTTTTTCACCTTTTTAATTCTTTATGCTACATGCTGGCTACTTTAGATTATAAAGAGAAATACAGAACTAAGAATCATTCAATGTCGTAGAACCTCCACCCATTGTACCCTGACAACTTTGACTGATGCATATATATACTTCACGGGAGGTCCAGATTTATATCGTACTTTTTATTTTTCCTTCCTTACCTCTTCATTTGATCAACGTTGTTATTAAAACAAATCATGGTGGCATAAAACTCAAAAATTAAAGCTAGTTGCAATAAGTTCGATGCTTATTTAGGGAACTACTGGCCATAAAAAGATTGAACTTATTACAACTAGCTTGCATTTGAGAGCTTTGGCTTCTTCGCGATGCTCGGCATCGGTACTGCAAGTGCATTCTGCAGAACAAAAGAGGTTAAAGGGAAAAGAAGAGGAGGAAGAAGAGTGTAAGAAAAAGGAGTGGTATAGACTGGTCTTTCTGTGGTTGTGAGCCTATGGCTTATCAAAGCCTAATCTATACACTGTTTATTTATATATGTGAGTTGGAGAATTTGGCCAAAGAAAGGCTGGAGTAAAAATGACGACATGGAATTGAATTCAGTTTGTGTGGAAGTGAACAAACGACAAGTGTGCTGTTTGAGCCAATATATTGATGATATTATGATAGAGATGTTATGCTACAAACAAAGTCGGTGTTGTAAATTTACGTGATATTATTACTTTACGTGTTATAATATTGGTCAACAATACACTCAGTAATTTTAAAACTTAAGGTATAATAATGCGCTACTAGAATTTGAACGTTAAATACGACGTGATAGTATGGCCATTATATTGAAAAATTTCTGCCAATAAAACTTCCCATATAAATTGCATTGTAGCTACTTCTTATCTGAACAAAAGTTTGTGCCATGCAACAAAATTTTAGTACACATTCTTTCTAGACTAAATTGTGATGAACTGAGAAAGCTAAGATGAGATGCTCCTTTATTCTAGCCAAAAAACCTACAACGTTTTAAGGCCCATGTTGAGTAGAACATGTATGTCCACACCAAATGGAATAATACATTTTTGGAGCTTAGGCTTCAATGTTCTAGAGCCTCCACCATTTTTTGTTATGCATATACTTCATGGTGGGTGTCCATATTCTACTAGTACTCTTCACATGTTGGGTGTACAAATTGCCTTCTTGCTCGTTGTTCTTCAAAATAGAACTCCATGACTATTGTGAGGATGGAAAAAATCTCACATTAGAAAGTTAAGAAATCTTTCTAGAGCTTTAAAGAGTTGTGTCACTTCCTCCGTTGTTAATTGGTTTTTCAATTGAAACTTCAACTTTTTTCACGATTCGCCCGCATGCATGTGAGCCAACAACAAAAATGTTCTACGTCACGCAAAAATGTCCACCTCTAAAGTTTAAAATCTTAATTATATGTGATGGAAAATTTGATAATTTAAGTAATTGTCCCACTTCTTAAAATTAAGAAACATTTTCCTTTTAATTTTACTATATTAGATTGTTATTTTATGGTATTGTTCACATGGCCACATATCTTTCCGAAAAGAGAAAAAATCTTCCCTGTCCATCCCATATGAAGAAGACTGATGAGGATGAAAAACTGACGAAATCCTGTTGCCATTCGATGTCTGTGGTTCCATGTTCTCCCTCCTCCTTCCCAGCATCTCCCTTTTCAGCCTCAAATCAAAGAAGTAATTTCCAACAAAAAATATATTTATAGAAAGCAATAATTTGAATGGTTCAGAACATAATTCCAATATTGTTTGGTTGGTGGTCCTATAGACTACACAATACTATTCCTGAAGGGAATATATTTAGCAACTGGAATTTTTATTTTTGGACCAGTTTCAGTCTACCAATATCAATCTAAAAGATTTAGAACATACTTTCAAGTAATGTGTTAAAAATAAGCTCATAAACAAAAGGAGATTCCCCATTTTGGTTGTACTCCAATAAAGATTTTTTGTTGGGGCTTACTCAAGCAGAGCTCTAGGAGCATTTCTAAGAGAAACAATAAAACTATTAAAACTCTATTTGAAAGAGCAAATCTAAAAAACTCATTTCCAAGAGAATCTATAAAGAACTATATATAATAGTGAAGTGAACAATTGCTCTTTAAATCTTACAGAGTCACTGTTCGTATGATAAATGTTAAAAAATTTATAAAATTCAACAGTGGGTCTTTGAACCAAGGATAAAAGGAAGAGAGAGAAGCTTTAGAAAATAAGTGGTTCAGATTTGAATTGTTAATAATGAAGTATTCAAACTTCAAAGTTTGTTAAAATAGAGAGTATTGTTAGAGATGAAAATTTAAACTAAGTTACTAAAATAGTTTTTTGACACTAATCACTTGCTAGTTTAACAAAAATTTAGAGTTTTCTCTTAGAAATTCTCCAATAATACGATGCTATGTCATTTGCTTGAAATCTTAGAACTGATTCTTGGTGCACTTTGAAATCCCAAATGCTGGCAAATAATACAATTTATTGACCCCAAAAGGGAAAAAAACATTTGTTTGCATGCTTTTGTCTTTGAACCTCTAGTTGAACTTCTACCCTATTCATGCCGATAAGAACTTGGCACTTGGAGTAATTTAGATCATGTCAGCATAGCTATACAACTTTAGAGCTTAGAGCTATGTTGATAATAATTTCATGTTTAGTTTTTAGTTTTAATTTTTTTTATTAGAGGTAATGAGAAAATATATGAGATAAATGAAAAATGAAGAAGGATGTAAGAAAGAAGCATGGTCGAGAAAATCTTTTGTACGACTAAGGGCTGATTTGGTATTGCTGTACTTTGAAAAAAAGTTGTTTTTATTGTGCTGTAAGAATAAGCAGCTGTGAAATAAAGCAGCAGAGTGTTTGGTAAACCCTTTTGTAAAAGTGCTTTTGAAAAAAGAAAAAAAAAAACAGTATTATAGTGTTTGGTAAACTTTTATGTAAAACAGATGTGAAAAAAAAGCCGATTTTTCAAAGCTGGGTTTTGCAGTTTCTTGTTTTTGGCTTTTTTTCATCCAAAACTGTGAAAAAAAGCTGAAGCTGAATGTTTACCAAACACAAAAACAGCTCTCAGCTTTTTTTGATACCAACTTTTTTTAGAATCACCTCAGTACCAAATCAGGCCTAACTCATGCACGCTGCCTCTCTCTCAATCGGGTGGGACCATGGGTAAGAAAGTGGGAAGAGGAATATAGAGGACTCTCTTTTTTGTGTCTGGTTGCACAATCAGATAGTTCAATAAGTGAATTTTAGAATTCGTGAACCTAGTGGGAGAGGGATGTGGAAGATATTTAGAAGAAATGATACGTAAGATGAAAAGTTAGTACAAAAAATTGTAACAATTTTAAATTGTTTCACTTTTAAATTTTTGTTTCATGCATTCTCTTTCATTTCTCCTCATCCTTCCCACCACCATCCTCCACACTTCTTCACCACTCTTTTCTCTCACATACTTTCTTTCAATCCCGAACACAAAGTAAAATTTGAAGACAAAATGGCAATCAAATGAGTCCTTTATAAGTCGAATTGTAATTATGATTCTCCCCATTTGGCCATAAGAGACATAAAACATACTCCAAGAAGAAGCGTGAGCCTTGACTAATAAGCAAGCACCAAAAGCTTATTGACATCGCACTCTTAATTTACATAATAAGCAGCAAGCATCCATCGTGATCACCGTCAATAGTTTGCTCTCTTTAGAACAAGCGCATCACTTTCACGGGAAAATCTCTTGTCTGCAATTGCTTTCTCAATACCCAGTTCAGTTTTTTTTTTTTTTTTTTTACGACTTCTTGTTGAATCGTGAAGAAACGCATATCCAAAATTGTGAATTTCAGCTGCCGCTATTGTAAGGAATGGGATTTGATTGACCAGATAGCAAACTGTTGGTGAAGAGTGGAGCGTGAGTCAACCTGCCGGCGAGGCTTCTTAGGTTTTTGCTGCTACTGGTTTAACTCTATGACTATGCAGGATTGGTCTGCCGGATACCCTGCTATTGGCACTGCCACCGCTGTCATCTTAAAATTTATTTTACAAAAACATTACTAACAAACATAAATTTATTATTTTTTGACGCTATGGTTTCTCTATACAGATTGTTGATCTGGCTCATCTCCCATTCTACTTATCCGCAGTGTGTAGTTGCCTAATGATTCCTGTCGTAAAATTTGAGCCCTTACAACCCAAAACCAAAGTGGTGAAAGATGTAGCCAACAAAAATGGGGAAAAGGGAGGTCGAACATTTTGCAACCCGCTCCTTTAATTGCGATACCAAGCTGTCTAACAAGTCCATGACCAATTCCGCGTATCTGCTTGGTAGTTTTAAGTCAGGCCCGATTTAAAGTAATTATATTGTTATTTGCTCCTACTATATGCATTTGTTAATTTTCTACAAAGCAAAACTTGGTTGCACCTTGTTATAGTAGGTAGGAATTATTTGAATATCATGTGAATAAAAATATCATTAAACCGTAATACTATAAGTGGCATAATTAATAATATGTTAATAGTAATTGTTAGAACATACAACAATGTTCTGTCTCATTGGTCCTCTCACAAGCAAACGGTGCCGGTCACGAGTGGAGCGAAAACAAAGCAGTAGAAATCCTTTTTCCTTCTGTCTTCCTGTTCTCTCCCTCTACTTTATTTGACAGGGGGTGTAGATAGGGTAAAACCTAGGGTCATGCAAGTCAATAGCCCGCATCCCTTTTAGCGTTTTCGGATAACGAAAGGCCATCAAAGAGCTCGGTACCAAACAAGCACAGCTAAGGTGAATCCGGTGTACTACTTCCCAAACTTTTGTGGACCTTGCTTCTTTTATGATTTTTTCGCTCGGTGGGCCCCCTTATGCTGGCGAATGCCTCCTTTCTCTTCTGAAGTCTACACGGAAACTTTCCTTGCCCATCCTTTACGTTCTTGAGGAAATGTACTCTGATTCCCCTTTCTTTTTTTTAGTTTTAGGGTTGGGTCTGACAGAGCACATAGTACTACGGTCTAGTGGTTATAAGTAAGGTCTTAGTTTCGAATTTCGAGAATAACAAGTTCGCAACTAATTTATTCCCTCATCCCTTAATGTAAATATATTGTTGTATAAAAATATTATTAATTATGAAAAGTTGAACTTATGTTTTTTTAAGACGACCCTGCTGATGCATATTTGTACTCTGCACTTCAGTATCGGGATACATTCACAAACTATATGATTCTTTAAGTTTATTCATTTGCTCAGAAGATAGCTCCTGAAGTCCAAAGTTTATGTTGTGCTTGAACCAATCAACTGGGGGAAGAGGAACTCCATACATTGCTTTCAATGTCAGTGTTGTTTGGCTTCTTGAGAAGTAGTTGCAATTAAAATCTCTATGGTAATAAACTAATAATGTTAGAATTAAATTAATTTTATAACTATAAGGAGGTGCAGTAACACAATTATTTTTTGATTTAATAATCCTTAATTAATTATGAATACAAAGTACTGGAGCATGTTAATTTCCAAGATAGGAGATCAAAGAAAGTAAATGCAAACACAGTCGAGAAAATGCATCAACGCATTATATAGCTTTGGCATGTAAAAGTAGTTATCAAATACAGTGATAAACTAGTCTTAGCTTTGAAAATAACTGATCCGACCAAGCATTTATAGCTTTGGCACCCACAGTAGAGAAAATGCATCAACGCGACCACCCATCGGAATCAGGCTTCCTTCTTCGGTGGAACATGATTGCTGTCAATGGAAAGGGATTTCATGCAACAACAAGAAAGTAGGGTACAGACAGAAATTATACAAAGCAAGGGCAACTGTGTGTGAAACTGTATAACGCGCTAAACAAGTCCAATGAATAGAGCCTACCATTATTGCTGTGGACACCCTAGTCAAGAAGAAAGATCAACTTTACTATCTCATTGGATGATGGACTTGCAAACTTGAAAAACGCGGTAGAGCTAGGGAAGTTTCAAATTACACACCCTGTAACCAATTTTGGAAGATACCAAGTTACCAACCTTTTGACTGGCAATGTGAAAATTTCACGATTTTGTACCTTAATTTGTTCCATATTTATTTGAATGTCTTGGACATGTTCGACAGAATGCGAAGACCGTATGTAGCAGCTGCAAGGGGACTATAGCGCAGTTGATAAAGAGCATTTACCCATGCACCTGAGGTCTTGACTTTGAATCTTCCTAGCCTCCCCCACTATCGATTGTATCAGGAACAAAACCATGACAAGGCCATTCGAAAATACCAAATAAGTTACCTCTGCAAAGCTGTATAAAAATTTCTTACCAAGCCTAAAGTAAACATGTTTGTAGTACAATTATACGCTACTGTAACACGTTTGTGGTACAATGAGTAAACCCTACCATAATTGCCTTGGATACTAAAGTCATGAAAATGATTTAAAAGCGCGTGGGCACCTACCTGAGTGTGAGGGAACTCATAAACTTGTAAAATGGAAGTTGAGGTTCCATCATAAAATCAATTGACAAGGCAATATAGGGAGTAGCCCAATCTCTTATAAGTCTATACAAGGTCTCTTGTCCCATCAATATGGGACTCATTCTCGCCCCCCTCACGTGTGGCGAATTTTCAAGCCTAACACGTGGACAACACAACGAGGCGACGTGGAGCGAATGTGGCCGTTTGGCTTTACACATGAGACAACCTGCTCTGATACCATGAAGAAAGTTGAGGTTTCACCATAAAACCAATTGGTATTATGGGGAGTAGCCCAACCTTTTATAAGCCTATGCAAGATCCTTGTCCTATCAATGCGAGACACATTCTTATCAGAAGACTAGGAATATGGGGACCTAGCTGAGTCCGACGGGACTCGAAAACTTGGAAAATGAGTTGAGGACTTGGAATATGGGCACCTACCTGAGTCCGACGGGACTCGAAGACTTGTACACTGGGCTGTTCACACTTGGAAAATTCAGCAAAAACACCTTATATATGAGTTCCCTTATTGTGCTCACTAGCCATCTGCAGAAAATTGAGAGAACATTAAATTTGTATGATGGATGCCCTGTATGCTAAGTTATTCAACCCTACCTATCACCTCAATAATTCTCACTATTTGCTCCTCTTGTTGTTGGCGTCCTTATATCTAGACACTGCTAAAGTCTGCTTGGGTGATGGACTTCCGGGCACTACTGTGAAGTTGTGCATGGATGAAGAGAGGCGTGCGCTTCTCAACATCAAGCAAGATCTCACCGATCCCTCTGGCAGGCTTTCTTCTTGGGTGGGCAATGATTGTTGTCAATGGGAAGGGATTTCATGCAACTACCGCACAGGTCATGTTGCGAAGCTGGACCTCCGGAATAAGCATGAGCCAAATCCCACTGGTGATGATGAAAACTGGGACGAGCTTGCTTATGAACGTTCGTGCTTAGGTGGTAAGATAAATCCTTCTTTGCTTACCTTGAAACATTTAAATTACCTAGATCTAAGCTCCAACAATTTTCAAGGTATTCAAATTCCTGAGTTCTTTGGACGGCTTGAAAGTTTGAGGTATCTCAATATCTCATCTGCGTCGTTTGGGGGGGAGATTCCTTCTTCCCTTGGTAACTTGTCATACCTGAACTATCTTGACCTTCGTTCTGATGTCTCCTTATTGGAAATACCTTCCAGAAACTTGAATTGGCTTTCTCATCTCTCTTCCCTGAAATACCTTAACCTCGGAGGCATCGACCTTGGTGGCTCAAAAGTAAGTTGGATGCATGCTGTTAACATGCTTCCATCCTTACTAGAGTTGCACTTATCTTCATGTCATATTGTAATTGAAAGCCTTCCACTCTCACTGCAAAGGATCAACTTCACATCACTTTTGGTCCTTGATTTGTCATGGAACCATATAAATAGTTCTTCATTTCCCAAATGGCTTTTTAATCTTACTAGCCTTAGAAAACTTGATCTAAGCTTGAATTCCTTCAGTGGTCCCTTTCCAATTGAACTTGCAAACCTCAAATCTCTAGAATATCTTGATTTATCTGACATGGGATTTAAAGGTCTCATTCCCAAAGGCATTGGAAATATGTGCAAGCTAAAGATCTTAAATCTTTTTGGGAACATACTTGATGGGGGGATAGAAGAGTTTTTGAGGAGTTTCTCAGATTGTCCGAATAATACATTAGAGTCACTGGATTTGTCTTTTAATTTGTTCACGAGCCAATTGCCGGCCTCCCTAGGAATATTAAAAAATCTGCGATATCTTAACCTTGGGAACAACTACTTTTGGGGCTCAATTCCTAAATCTATTGGAAACTTGTCGTTGTTGAAAACATTGGACCTGTCTTATAATCATATGAACGGGTCCATTCCAGAAAGTTTGGGACAACTCTCCGAGCTAGTTGATCTTTATCTGAGTGCAAATTCATGGGCAGGCATGCTAACAGAATCCCATATGTTAAATCTCACCAGATTAAAATATATTTCGATATACAGCGAGGAACCTATGTCCCTCATTTTCAACGTGTCTTCTGAGTGGGTTCCTCCTTTCAAGCTCCACACAATTCTGATTAACAACTGTCGAGTAGGCCCTGCCTTTTCTGTTTGGCTTCAGTCTCAAACTGAGCTCATTGATGTCACCATTAGTAGAGCCGGATTCTCAGATTCCATACCAGAGGAGTGGTTCATGAAGATATCTTCACAAGTTAAATCTCTGGATTTATCTTACAACCAATTCAAGGGAAGGCTTCCATTCCAACTGAAGTTTCCAGAGTTGCAATCTATAAATTTGGGTCATAACCAGTTTGATGGTCTACTACCACTTTGGTCAACTAATGCGACCGTCATTGATCTTGAAAGCAATTTGTTATCCGGGAAAATTCCCTCAAACATTGACGAATTGATGCCCAATTTGCGACAATTGTGTCTTTCGGAGAATCATTTGACAGGTATTATTCCACCCTCTGTATGCAAAATCCACGAACTGATGGTCCTGTCGCTAAGAAGAAATCGGTTATATGGAGAATTCCCTCATGAATGGAGTTTGTGGAGCACAATAACTGTTGTCGATGTTGCATACAACAATCTCTCTGGTAATATTCCGACTTCAGTGGGTATCCCAAGGTCTCTTCAAGTTTTAAAGATGAACAACAACAAGTTCACCGGCGAAATTCCTTTTTCCTTGAACAATTGTTCTACTTTGAGGAGACTTGATCTGGGAGGCAACAAATTCACGGGAAACCTGCCTTTATGGATTGGATCAAATGTATCAACATTGCAACTGTTACAATTGGGATCCAACCGTTTGAGCGGACAGATTCCCCAACAATTCTGCAGCCTCATCTACCTTCACATCCTCGACCTTGATCACAACAACATTTCAGGTAGCATTCCAAAGTGTTTGAATAACATGACTTCTCTAGTGGATTCTGCTTCTCTAGGCACTAATGATTCCAGTGAATGGTACCTCTATCGATATATATACGATGCGCAAACAACAGTCACATCAAAAGGGAGAGAACTCGACTATGGACGCAGCCAAATGCAATATGTGAAGAGCGTTGATCTTTCGTCAAATAATTTACAAGGCGAAATCCCTGAAGAAGTATGCAATCTCATTGAATTGGGCACCTTGAACTTGTTGATGAACCAATTAAGTGGAAAGATTCCCTCGAAGATTGGAAACTTGCGTTTGCTGGAAACTCTTGATCTCTCGCTCAACCACCTTTCGGGACAGATTCCTCAAAGCCTTTCTTCTCTTACCTTCCTGTCTCACTTGAACTTGTCCTACAACAACTTGACAGGAAGAATTCCTACAGGCAACCAACTCCAAACGCTGGTTGACAAATCCATTTATGAGGGAAATCCAGCATTGTGCGGCGCTCCTCTTTCAACTGCTTGCCCCGGGGATGAGACGCCTACAAGACAACCTTTGCCTGTAGAAGACAACACAGATAAAGAAGAAAGGCTTTGGTTGTATGTCAGTGTGATACTCGGCTTTGTCGTAGGCTTCTGGGGAGTTTGTGGCACTTTAATAATAAAGAAGTCATGGAGGTATGCCTATTTTAGATTCTTCGACAACATCAAAGACAAGGCAGCCCTAGCAATTGCACTCAAAGCGGCTCGTTGGAGAAGGAGGTGGGAAAAATAAAATGAAATGTTGGTAGTAATCGATGCCTAGCTGTTATTGTAATGTAATGTATGATACTACTATGCAAAAAAATAAATCATGGACTTCCGATATGCATGCATGAAAAGTGATTTCATGTCACTTACGGAACATTATTTTCTCATGTTGTTTAGGATATGAATTCCAAGCATATATATTTTAGTGAAGAGAAATACTAGGTAGATTAATTTTTTAGACCAAATTTGTAAGAGATTTTTTAATGTGCTTGGAATATGGGCACATACGTCATTATATAAGTGGAGGGACTTTTGAAAAAAAACTTCCTTCCACCTGTATAATAACATATGGTGTACTGACCCGTGTTTCGCACACATTAAAAAAATCTCTTCAATTTGAAAACCATGTGATGCGACTTCCTAGCTTACCCTTTGTTGAAATCACTTTCATAATGATAGACGAGCATGCGCGAGCGCTTCTCATTTTTTAATTAAAATCTTCAGTGTTTTTTTGTTGGAAATTAGTTTTAAGTATTATTGAATTTACTTGTAGGCCAAGGAGTAGAGTTCCTTGTCCATTAAGTTTCGAATTTTTTTGCTCGTCTTGTCCAGCGAGGAAAGGCGACAGCGTCGGGGTGAGTCTTGATGCAAAGAGGCTTAAAGGATGGGAATTTATTTGTTACAACGATTAAAGGGTTGGACGGGTACAAAGTTGTACTTTCATCGCAACATGGTATGAATTACTGGCAAGGTTTTTCATGCTTATGAACAAAAAACTATCTGCCAAACCTTGCGTTACACCCTTTGCTCATGTCCAGGAAAGGAAGGTATTACTTTCTTAGAACGGCACTCCTGCATTTTCAAATTCTCAAGGGTATCAATGGAAAATGATGGTTGGTTGCATACAATAACTGCAACATAGAGTTATAGAAATTCTGAACACAATCAATGAAAGTGGAAATGGGCATTGTTTGAGCATATTCTATGGCCAAAAGATCACTTACTGGGGAGAATTTGAGTTTACGAGAAATTTATTTGTGCACATAATCAATTACGCTGTTTTCTGTAAGTGTAGTTTTCCATTTTTCGGGGTTATTTATAATAATATCAAAGAAACCATTTGCAAAGAGTGTTAATGTTAACCTCTTTGCATCTTTCACAATAAACAAACGTTAACACTCTTTGCAAATGATTTTATAAATAACCTCAAAAAAATAGAACTCCACTTACAAAAACAACCTAATCGATTATATGCAAATAAAATTTTCGCATACTCAAATTCTCTTCGCCCATCGTTATAGTAAGTGATATTTCGGCCATAGTATACGCTCTCAAACAATGCTGATTTCCACTTCCATTAATTGTGTTTAGAATTTCTACAACTCTGCTCATGTTTTGTTATTGTATGAAATATACCATCGTTGTCCATTGATACTTTTAAATATTTGAACATGCAAGAACGCCACTATATTAAAGTAATACTTCCTTTCTTGGACATGAGCAAACGGTGGAATGCAAGTGATCCTAACTTTTGTAAACTTCAAAAGTTAAATACACACAAGAGAGGAAAAAAAAAAAAAGAGAAAAGTAAAGAAAGGAAACTGCTAAATCTTTAGATACGGATGATGGACACACATATAAGAGGGGAGTCGGCCCGAGAGGATTCTCTCCTTTCTTAATTTCTCTCCCTTTCTTTTTCTTTTTGTTTGAACAACTATGGTTAAGCAATATCAATTTTTTATAGTAATTTTATTATAAAGACAAAAAACAAAATATGAAAGAAAGAAAGAAAAGATGATAGAGTTAGGATGGGAGATAATCCTACTCCCACTCTGGACGACCCTGCCTTAGTTTGGTAGGCAGCAAAGCCTTCACAAGGAAGGTGTCAAGCATGCGTTCCATATAGAGTGGTGATGAGGCTCTCTATTGGCCACCCAACAATTATCTATGCTTTGTCAAAGGGGTTTCTTATCCAATGTTGATGGTGTGCAGGCCTGTCAAAAGGTGTTGTTTTTTTTTTTTTTTTTTTTAAAAGAAAACTAATAAAAAAATATTTAAAAACTTTGAGTTTTGACGACAAGGATAAAATAAAGGGTAAAATGAATAGTATTATGGACTTTTCGTTAAAACTCTTTTTTTTTTTCAACCTCTCACTTTCTTTGCTTTAGAAGGAAATTCTCATTTCTGCAGTTGCTTTCTCAATATCCAGATTCTTGAATAAAAACCCTATTCGACATGGTTCGTGCAACTAAAAATTTACAAATTCAAATAATCGAAAATTTTCAGGAATACACGGGCAAGTAAAAGTGCTATAATAAGCCATTTGTTTCCAAAACCACAGTAGGAAATACAAGAAATTTTTTGGAAAGTTATGGATTATATGATATTCCTCACACTCAATCTGTAATTTGGGACACAGTTATTAGTGATTGACTAAGGATGCGAAGAGGCATAAAGGATGAGGATTTATCTGTTACAATGATTAAAGTGTTACACCGCTACAAAGTTATACTTCCTTCAAAACGTGTATGAATTACTGACAATATCAGTTACGTGAACAATGTCAAAAAAATACAAATACCTTATTATACCACTTCTACTAGCTCATAGATTCCCAAATAATAAAAATTTCAAGTAGATATCTGAATTTGTAAATTTTCAATTATACTAAATGCAAGAACGATGTCAGAAGAATTTGCCTTGGCGGTCGCCACTCCTTGCAGCCATTTCACTGATATGCTCTACAAATCCAGAGAAGCGGATCTTCTCCGGATTCATTTTGTAGAGATCCTAAGAATTCTCACATTCTAACCGTTTATTATATATCGTGTGAACAGTTTTCGTTAGGTACTATTTGTGTTTAATTTTAAATAAAAAAAGTCAAATGATTTTTGAACGCACGATACACGATGAACGGGTAAGATGTGAATATCCTTAGGATCCCCATAATTTGGATCCGGATGGGATCCAAATCCCAAATGCGGCAGTCACAATTAGAAAATACCCGCCAACGCACACATTCACACCACAACTAAAAATCATTAAACTTAATGAAAATTAAATTACGTACATAAACAACAAGGGTACTATGATTAACACATCCCTAAGAAGAATTACCATATATCTTCGTGCTTGGCCAATTATCCGACGTTTGATCCAAAGAGTGCTCAACTGAGAGACGAAACAAATAACAAGAAAATTATGTAACAACCAAACACACACAAATAAATGGTATGAAAAAAAGTGAAGAATAATTCTTAAAACCGATAATGCAGTAGACGTTTTACCTCATATTTTCCATGTCGTTTTATAATTCATCAGTCTCACTATCTCTTGAGTTGTTATATACGACAGACCGGACTCCTATTCTTTGGTGTAAAGTATGAACAGATACAAGTTCACCATCATAATTAAGAAAGCAAACTACTAAATCTCTAGATTTGGATGATCGACACATATATGTACCAGTGTAGTAAGGCTCCCGTTGGTAATAGGCAACTCAATTTCTTTAAATCAGTAACTGTTCAAGTGTATATCTACCTCTAAACTGATAGTCCAGACAATTCGTATTAAAACATTAGTATTTATTATTTGGATTGAGTACCTAAAACTCCCCAACCTTTTAGTATCGTTCCAAATTGACTTCAACTTTTTTAAACATTTCAAACAAGTACTCGTTTACATCAACAATTCATCAAAGCTCTTGCAGCCAAGATGAACTTGCATGGCATGGATATACAGCTATGTACCGTTTTGTGTAAACAATACAAGGATAGTTGTTTTTTTTCACATTTTCTTATGTCATTAACATTGAACGCTGGTGTAGCATTTAACCTGAGCCATACAAGTTCCCTTTAAAGTTGCAACCGCTATAAAAGCCAAAGTAACAAAATTGCACATAACACCAATTTATAGCCCTATCGTACTAAAGCATTGGTTTTGAGGGTAGGTCAATCTTAACCTCCAAGTCGGAAATAATACTAGTTTCAGAAATAACACAACACTCTTTGAGTACACGAAACGAAAAAAAGACTATTATTCACATTGCAGAGAACATGATACCTCATAAGAGCGAGCAAAAACTATACACAAAACAGCCACCTGAAACTGTACAATTGACAAATTTCTTATACGTACTAAGATTATTTAGATGTTCTGCAATAATCCATGTCAATAGATCCTGCAGTTTACAGTTGAGTCTCTATGAATGCCAAAATTGCCAAACCAGATGCCCAAACATCGTCGTCCAATACATGCTCTTCAGGGGAGTGACTTACGCCTCCTCGACAGCGCACGAAAAGCATTCCCACCTGTTCACAATTTCTCAGGTCAGAATTGTACACAAGAAAATAAAGCAAACAATAACATGGTTCATAATTCTCTGGAAAATGAAAACAAACCTTGGTTAAATGAGATAGAGCCATTGCATCGTGTCCTGCTCCGCTCATTAACACGGGAATTTCATCCTCAATGGCTGCACCTGTCATTCTCTTGAGCCCGATATATGCTGCAGATTTCAGCTTTGAACTCAACTCAGAATCACAAATGACTGCACCTGCATCATGCTGAAAAATACAAACCATATAATGTTAACGGTTAAGCTTCTTGCAAAAAGATTAACTAGGATAGGAAAGTCCCTTACCTTACGATCAATTGTACAAGAAACAGAGCGTCTATCACAAATTTTATACACTTGGTTAGAAAACTCATACACAACAGCTTCACGTCCCATGTCATCTATCGTACGTAAATCTACGGTGAATGTTACCTGAAACCAAGAGTTTCATTTTCATTACAGATGTTAAGAAGTGAATGATAACTAACCACCTTTGGGCTGGTTATCAAATTTGACATGTCGTGAGGTGAACTTCTTGCCTGGCCAGGAATGACGTTGCTTGCACTCGGCCAAGTTGATATCTCTCCAACAGTACAAACAAGTGAAGCTGAAAGTGATTCCATCGAGAAACTTTTGCAATGACCATCAAAGGACAAAAAATCTTGAGGGCTTTTACATAAGCTTTCTAATGAATAAATCGCTTCAGCAGCAGCAGCCATAGGATCATGACGCATAGACATTGGAACTGTTCCAGCATGCCCCTGGGAACCTCTCATCGTAACCTACAACATTTATGCATATCAAACCGCTCAATCAAGATAAGAAGCTAAATTGCAACAAGGCATCGATGATCAAATAATGTCTATATTACTTGTAAAGAGCTTCCGTGCAAATCTCATATTGACTGAGTTCTGCCATAAAATTTTACAAGATTGTACCCTTGTGAGCTATACACATATATGTAGTTCATGATACTCATCCAATTTTTCATATATTATGTTTATCTCGATTTTGAATTTCCCAGAATTCCGGAAATAATATCCAGCCACAAAATAGAATACTGATTACTGACTATATAAGAATTATCTTCTTTTTCATGATAAAAAGGGACCACAATTTAGATATGATGCAACTATGCAAACGGAAATATTCCATAATCGTATACCTTTATTCGTGTCTGTCCAGCTATGCCTTTAACCACTGCTAGAGGAAAGCCAACCCATTCTAGTACAGGTCCTTGTTCAATATGAATCTGCAACATGAACATTGAGGGTCAAATGCTAAAATAACTTACAAGGCGATGATACTAATACAATGCAACCAGCATAGGTCACCGTACCTCAACGTAACCCCAGACAGAATTTGGGTCATATTTAAGCTGCAACAAGTGCTCCTCTGTAATTTCTATGGAGTTCTTCTTAAGAGCATCTTCAATTGTTACATCACTGAACAAGGATTTATTACATATAAGTACATTGATGGTAAATAGTGTTTCAAACAGATATATAATGGGAATTATCCAAGGAAACCTTTTATCGGATATTCTGAGTGCTGAAACTGGCAAAATTCCTGCTACAGCAGCACTGCCTAAGAATGTAGACTGATACCTTACTCCCTCTTCATCACTAAATGCTATTACCTGCAATGTTGTGAAGCATGAATAGCATGAAACAAATAGTTATATTTCTGGTGTAGCCACCACAAGCAACCCCGCATACAGTTTTGCAAGAAATTTCTGCTCCTACATACTGTAAAACATGAAGGGACTAACTGGAAAACTGAACAGGTTAAATTTCCCTTAATTTCACTCCGATGAAATATACAACTTGAATGAAAAGGCCACAAATTGGAAAATAGAGAGTTAATGATGAAGTTTAATCGAAAAGGCATAATAGACCCTACACGCAATTCTACTTTGAGATATCTCCAAATGAAAAATTGGTATGTTTTCACAAAAACCTTTATTCAAGAAAGATAAACACATAGCAGAATATTACCACAGAAAACTTCTAAAAAAACGTTTCAATAAAGCGCCGATATATATCTTTCCCATAAAACTTTAATTGTTCACTGACCTCAACTGGCCTGCTTAGTTCTCCCAACTTTCCATTGACCTTCAAAACCTTCAATGCAGATAACACAGAAACGATGCCTAATGCTCCATCAAATTTCCCACCATCAACAACGGTATCCTGTTATAACCCAAATTGTTAAATATCAGGATCCAAAAACAACACTCCCAAGTTTAAGTTCAAATAATTAGGAAACTGAGGGAAGAAAATATTACCAAATGAGAACCCATTAACAGAGCTTCAGCACTAGCATTCCTTCCCTCAACTCGACCGTGTACATTCCCCAAGCAATCAACCCATCTGAAAATCAAGAAAAACATGAGACAAGAATTCCTGAAACACATTTTGGATGCATAGATGGATAGAAGCTGACGTTCTCAAACCCGCGTCTTCCATCCATTCCCGGATAAGATTTCCTGCCCTCAGAGCAGCCGGGCTCATGAATGTCCTCTCAAGATATCCATCACCATCACTCACCTGATGTTCAAGGGTCAAGGCAACAAAATCAAAATTAAAACATGATCAGTTTCACCACCATAACATACATGGATTTGCAAAATTGAGCAATGAGAAACCAAAAAGAAACACCAAACCAACGCAAGAACCATACATGGATCAGCTGCTAAGGATTACTGTTACTGTTACAGTAGTTGTAACAATTGCAAGAACCCTACTTAAGATTATATATTTCAAATAGACAATAATCGAACCCATGAAAAATAGAAAATTCATGGGTTCTAGATAAATTAATTAGTATATATCGAACTAGTTTAATATCTCCTTCTTTTATATTCCAAAAAAAATAAAAGATGGCGATATTAAATTAGCATAGATAAAAGAAAAAGAAAAGGAACATGAAGTCTGGAAATATCATACCCGTCCAAGCTGATGAAGTCTAGCCACAGCCTCATCCCTCAGAATTTCCGGATACGAACCGCTTTCTTCTCCAACACCTATTCTTACGAATATTACTAATGATAAAGACAAATACAAATTAGATTTTAAGATAAACATGTCAATTAGTGCCATTGATAATTACCAGAAACCCCAAAAGATGGAGTGATGGTTGAAGAAAGCAGAAGCACCAAATAGCTGACCAAAACCACTGAATCATGGAACCTGCAGGAGGTGAAAATGGAGGTGGGATTAATGGTTGAATAGGTTCTCTTGTCGACACGTGTAACAGTTGCCATGGCTGCCACCTGAACCAAAACCAGAGAGAGGGAGGCAGCCACGCAAATGATATTGCTAAGGTTTGTGCAAATTGTGATATGTACGGTGCACCCTAATGGTTGTCTACATAAGAGAAATTTTGATTCTACTATAAAATTAATATGAAAATTAGACTAATTTTACAAGCATGTGCATTGGCTTTTTTTTCGATGTAAGATTTATACTCTCAACACGACATCTCATTATGACGAATTTTCAAACCTAATATATGAACAATACAAATAAGGTAGCGTGAAGTGTATTCATTAGGTTTATGCATAAACATGTTCTGATCCCATATAAAAATTGAAGTTCTTCATAAAACCAATTATCAATATGTTGTGTGGTAATGTGACGATGATAACGGGTAGGTTGATGCGGACTCCACTATATATGTGAGTCCTGTATGGAAGATGATTCTCTCTGGATTCATTTTGTGGGGATCCTAACCGTTCATCGTACATTGTGCGACTAGTTTTCGTCATATACTATTTTTATTTAATTTTAAATAAAAAAGATCAAATGATTTATAACTGCACGATATACGATAAATGACTAAAATATAAAAATTTCTAAGATCCCCACAAGATGAATCCGGATGGAAACCAATTCCATCCCGTATGACTTGGCAGAATCTTGATTTTAATATGTGGAGAGCATCCATGCAAGATATGAGACTATTGATTATTTTAATTCAAAACAAGATTTTAAAATGGATGTTGCGGTTTTTGGAATCCCACAAGGATTCTTTTATAAATTATGTCGAATCTGCAGAAAATGACACTACTGTTAATGTTAGCATCATATAGCATGTTTATTACCAGAAAAATATATGTATCATACGTATAATTTATAAATTCTATTCTCGTTTCTAACTTATCTCGCATTAAAATTTAAATATTTCACACTCGAATGACCCGCGTGTGTTAACTGAAAAGGAAGTTTCTATAACTCAAAGGGAGAATTCAAACTATTATAGAGCTATTATTAATATTTTTTTATAAGAATATTTTTTTTATACAAGCTATAGTTTAGCTAAATTAATCTAATTATAAAGAGGATTGAGGAGGGATTCGAACTTCAGTACAAATAATAAGAAATTTGATATTGTGTTATAGGGATTGCAAGAAATCGCATCCCTTTCAAAAAGAATATAATGAACAAACAAGTTAAAAGCTTGAAAACAAATTAGTGGAAGGTGAATAACTAAAAAGAAAAACATGAATGATAGGTGATGAAAGATATGGAAAAGTTGAGTGGCTGCATTGTCACATAGCACAATATGCTCTAATATTATAACAAAAATATCCATATTTTTTTTTTCAATATGAGAAATTTAGAACTAAATATATTGTCCAAATTTTTTAAAGAAAGAAACCATCTTTTTAGATCATATTTTGTAGACACATGATGTGGCAATCATTAACCGTTATATCATGTGATTTACAAAAATAATTTAAATAGATAGTCTCTAACATTTTTCTTTTTCAAATTTAAGAAGAGAAAAATTAGTAAGCTAACAGTAGTTCAAATCTTTTTCACCAAATTTGTGTGTAGTTTTTTAATGACCTCATCATTAATTGATACGGATTAATTTTATTAACCCTTCTTAACTTTATCGTCATAGACTAACACATGTCAACTAATAAAAAAGAACACAAAATAAATTCACACAAAAAATAAATACAAAAGATTGCTCATCAAACTGATTGGTTTGAGAATGTTCGGGTGTTACCGTCCTATGATGAAGACAAAAGCTTAAGGCCGACACACTTGTCTATGGGCATATTTTCATGAAGAAAATTAGTAACGCAATAAGATACAGAATCATGCTCATTTATACTATATTATAACAGGCTACCATTTGTTGAAGATGATCCACATGTTTAACTTGAAAACAGCATTACAGACATAAAGAATGTAATCCCATGTCAGAAATTTTTTTTGGATTGTCACGACTCCATTAATAAAATTAAAATATATGCTTAAAAAATGTAACCCATTGAAAACTTAATAAAATATATTATTACTTGTAATAGTTTTGCTATTAAAAATATCAAGATATTTCGTGATGAAACTATGCGTCTACGCATATGTACAGTAGTAAATTTAAAGCAATAACACTATTATTAGTAGTAAATTGCTAACCAGCCTATATTGACATATATAATTGGTAGAGATGTTGTTTTCACAAAAGTGGACAAGTTGAAGTTACGTGAGTGACTTCTTCGCTTAATTTGCAATTAAAACAAATCACGTAAGACTAAAGTTGTCATAATCTGTCAAGTAGTTTAACCAGCCAAGCAAGTTCTTGTCTTGATGATCACATGTATTGTATGTATTACTCAAGTCTTGAAACAAGCTAGGCCTCTCTTTCAATGTTGACGAAAAATTAAGGAGGCCAAAATTTGGACTACGCGCAAATGGCAACTTGTCCACTTACTTTCAAATACAAACTGGTAGCTCCAAAATTCATTTCTTCTTCTTATATTACAGTTCTCTCCTTCCCCCTTCTTTTCTTATATTTTTCAATCATGTTGGAATCCCACATAGGTGGATGCAAAAAGAAAATAATAGATTTAAATATGATCATCCCACTCTAATTAATATCGATGCCGTTTTGTGGTAAAACCCCAAACCTGACGGATTGAGTAGGTGGTAAAGTTGGGGACAGTATCGATGTCGTTAGAATGGAGCCCCCAAACCCGTCGATCTAACAATTCCAACAAGGTATCAGAGCCAAGGTTTGAGCTCGTTCAAGCTAACGAGCTTGTCACCAGGAAGGAAACAAGTCGGGAATCTTAACATAGAGCTGGCCTCTGAGTTCTATTGAAAACATGTCTGGACTCTTAACATAGAGTTGACCTCTAAGTTCAATTACCAATGTATGGATCCCCATGTGTGAACCACTAAATGGGGTTACACGTGAGGAGGAGTGTTGAATCCCATATTGATGGGTGCAAAAAGAAATAATGGGTTTAAATATGGTCAATCCTGATAAAACCCCACACTTGATGAATTGAACATGCTGTAAAATTGAAAACCGTATCGATATTGTTAAAATAGAACCACCCGACTCGTCGATCTAAAAATTCCAACAAATCGGTTTCTCCTTATCATGTCCAAACAACAGAGAACTCTTTTTATTTATGTTTGGCTTTTTTCCCAGTTTCACCTGTAAGGGAAGGACATAGGTGGTCTGAAGATTCCCTGAAGACCGGAAAGCAATGCATGCAGTGCGTTATTTAATTATATATGTGCGTGATGACGAATATCCCTCTATGCAATATTTTACGATTGTCTTTCCTTTAGTTTTATTAAAATTTAGTTCAAGCTATCATGCACTAAAATTCCTAAGGATTCCATTGATATGGAGCAGTAGTGGACCTACAAAATATTCCTCGAGATTCTTTTTTTATGCACAAGAATCGTTGAAAGTGGATGCATGGGGAAGAAACAATATAAAAATGAGAAAAATAGTTTCATGTAGTTGGACACATCGTGAAATGTTGTACTGGTACAGCACATGTTTACTGCTAGTGCAAGCTGCATGTTTTCTGTCTAAGCTTATATTTGAGCATAGAAAACGTAGGCTTAAAGGAGGGATAGATGTAGTGTGAGTTCGAAACAAGGAGCCTACCCAGCCTACCCATTTCATTAATTAAGGTCATTATCTGATTGATGCCAGATGGTTAAGCATGTTTTAGAATTAATTAGTTTGAATATTTGACTTTATTAAGGGAGGAGAAATGTTAAATTTTGACATTTCACACCATAATATAACATCCCTTGAGATTGACAAGAAAACATTAGCTGGGTGGACACCATCTTCACCCAGCTGATTGGTCAAAACATGAAGGATAAATTTCAAACTTAACATAAGTTCAGGACTTCATAAGGTCAGGTAGAAAATCATTTGATATGTCGCTACCATCTTCACTAACCCGATGAAAAAAATGCAATAACTTCTTATGGACTTGTTGAGAATGATTCTGATGTACTCCAAAAAATTTCATGCCACTACCATATAGTATTCATTTTTACTTGGTGGTAAATAAAGCATCTTCAGCTCTTTCAAATAAAAAAAGAAAAGATGTTGAAGAAGATTATACAGCACCGAACATGAAAAAACATAGAAATAAAACGCAATACAAGATCAACACAAAACCGAAGTTTGATTTCTTCCTAAAAAGGTATTTGTATTTTAGAAGGAGAAAATACTTCGAAGATGAAAATGTTCCTATTTAATGGTCAAGAATTCTTGACAGCATCGACTAGGAACAAATACCAATATAATTACTATCAAGTCACGCCAAGCATAAACCATGCATCTATGCACCTATACATGTCTCATTTATGAAAGTAAGTCATCTCTCCCTAACCCTATTTACACACACGCACAAGGGTTGACATAACTATAAAAAAATCTAGCTAGATTGACATTGAAGCCATGTTTGGAGATTCCTTTCGCCAAGTTGATTGGTTACAAAAGTAGGATAAGTTAGAAGGCTACATATTGCAGTAGTATGAAGTTAATTAGGACATCAAAATATAATCCTCCTAGAAAATGAAAAGACATAAAGATTGAGACGTGTTTGTGTGTCCGGGCAAGTGTATCTTGATGGTGAAGAGCAGAATATGCATCAGTACATAAATATTGATGGTGAAGGAGCGCATAACAATATAATTACTATCAAGTCAGGCTAGGCATAAGACAGGAAGAAATCGGAAGTAATGCATGAAGATCACTTCACCCAGTTGATTGGTCAATACACAATAGGCCAGTTTCAATGCCATAAATTGCAGCAACATAAGTTTAGGACTTCAAAACCTAATATTTTTGTCAGGCATGAATAAACATAAAAGCTTCAGAACTTTGTAACATGTTCTCGTGTGTGTCAGTGTGTCTAAAGAAAAATGGCTCATCCATCCATTAGATTAAACTCTATTAGAAACCTCAAAGAGAAAGAGGAAAAATAAAAAAAAACCTAGTTAAGCCTTGCTTCAAATTAGGATTACCATATAAATAAAGGAAACGCCTCTGAA